AGACTGTGCCAAGATGCCGGAACTGAAGCCTTAACCCCTGATGTCCCAGCAGGCTGGAAGCCTCAGAGCCCGCCTTGGTCCTATGACTGAAAGACAGCTGGCTCTCTACATTAGATACTGGCAAAAGACCCTCAGCCCCTGACTTGGAATAGAAGCGATTAAATTCAGCTTAACCCAACAAACGCTTATCAAGTGCCCATGGTGTGCTGAGCATGGTACCAGCTGCTCAGAGTTCATGGTGCTCAACTCAGAAGGGACCTAAGGGGCCAATCTGATCGTTTTACAGATGAGGAAACTGAGGCCTCGATTTGGAAGGGACTTACCAAGGCCACAAGAATGAAGGAGGAGCTTACCTCGAAGTTGGGATTCTACCAGGGAGTGGGGGGTGGAAATGACAAATGTCTTTGCTAGCTTCTCCCCTTTTGGTCCTTAGAGCTCTTTAGTTGGACAAAGCTGATTTGCTGGTACCATTGGGCTGATGAAACAGAGTCAAGTGATAGACAAATAAATATATTCTCTGTTAATAATACATATATATATCCATACACATATACACACAGAGGGTAGCTAGGTAGTGCAGTAGATAGAGTGCTGGCCCTGGAATCAGGAGGATCCAGCCTCAGACACTTATTGGCTGTGTGACCCTGGGCAAGTCATTTCACCCTGTTTGCCTCAGTTTCCTCATCTATAAAATGAACTGGAGGAAGAAATGGCAAAGCACTCCAGTAACTTTGCCAAGAAAACCCTGTGGTATCATGGAGAGTTGGACATGATCACGACTCATCATCAATAATAACAACACATATATATCGAGACAGACACACATCCCTGAGATATGGTTGGTAGAGGGAACTAACTAACAGTGACCCCAGTGGAGACTGGAAGAAGGAGGAAATTCTTTCTATCACTAATTCTTTCTACTTAATTTCTTTCTACTACTAATTCTTTCTAATGTGTAGTCTCATAGAGTTACCTGAAACACTGAAAAGTTAAGTGACTCACCTAGGGTCACACAGCCTTCCTGACTCTAGGGCTGACTCCTTCTACACTGCCTCGAATACAAAATAGAGTTCCTAGAAAGTAATTTCAGGGTGGGTAGAGCACCACCAGCTGGGGGATAAGAATAGGTATCCTCCAGGAGATGGTACTTAGAAGGTAGTGGAGGTGAGGAAGGAGGGCATTCCTGGCATGAGGTATGGCATGTACAAAGATACCGAGGTAGGAGATGGATGTCAGCCAAAGTGAACAGCTCGTGGGCTGCTCTGGCTGGAATATGGAATGTGTGAAGGGGGGTGGGGAAGCGACTGGACTGGGATTTCATTTATAAAGGGGTCTCTCCCATGAGGGAATTCCTCCTGATGCAAATCAGCACCCAACACCTTCTCGGCAACATATTGTCTTAGAAACATGCATAGTGTCAGCTGTGTGACCCTGGGCAAGTCACTTAACCCTACTGCCTAGCCAAAAAAAAAAAAGAAAAAAGAGAGAGAGAGAAAGAAAGAAACTTTCATATTGTCCCAGCACAAATGTATCACCCTCTGAACTTGAACCCCAGGCCTCAGAGGCTTTGAGTTTCTCTGTCCACTGCACCTTGCTACCTCCCATGTGAGGGAGACCAGTGTGAAAGCAGTGTGAAATCAGATGATGAAGGCAAGAGGAATTTGTTTTTGATCCTAGGGGCAAGAGGGAGGCGGGAGAGCTTCACAAGCAGGGGAATGAACGGAGGAATAAAATAAAAAGTATTTAATGAGCACTTTCCATGTGCAAAGCTTCATGCTAAGCACTGGGGATACACATGAAAAAGACAGAATGTCCTGCCTGCAGGGAGCTCACATTCTAACGGGAAGACACTGTCTAGGGGAGTTTCAGCACAAGTCAGATGGAAAGGGTTTCATGGTCCTCGGGGTGACGCGGATGGTGACGCCTCTTCCCTCATGCCATGGTCACTGACAGAATCATGTATTTCCTGATGTTGAAACTTTGGAGAGCACCCAGCAAGAACTTTCTTTCCCTGTGGCCCTAGGACTTAAAGGAGCAGCGTCCAGGCTTCATCCCCCATGGGGGCTGAGGCCACTGGGCTGGACCCATTGCCCTTCCCCAGGCTCTTGGGTTTGGAGTCCTACACTGTCCCCATTAGGGTCTAAGGAAGATGGTGGTCAAGGTGGTGGTTTGACCTGCGTGGCACCTGCTGCCTCCTGCCTACGCCCCCAGGGTACCTGGCTCCTCGAGCTAGGCTGGCTTGCCTGATCTATGGGTGGCAGTTGGCAGGCTGGCAATCCCCTTCTCTACAGGGATTGCTTCCCCAGATGATGACTGTGAGAGAGGGGCAGGTGGTTTGGTTGGGGGGATGTGGTGCACTGCTATTCACAAGGCTCTTGGCTTCAAGGTTCTGGGCTACCTCTACTGGGGAGTGATGTGGTCAGACCTAGATGTGCCTCTAGGATAGCAGCTGGGCAGCCTCCCCACCCACCTGGTGGGAACACGAGGGCTGTCTTACTTGGAATTTTCTGCAGGGTCTTTGTTGCAAGGGCTCTAAGGCCTGTTTGGGACACCATGTTCTTCCCTGGGGCTCAAGGGTAAGATGACCTCACCTCGGGAGGAGTGGCCCTCAGCCCTCTGGGGATGGTTGTTTGTCTTGGATAGATGCCTGGGAAGAAGACAAGCATTGGATTGGGAAGCCACAGGGGACCTCTGAGAACCGCAGCTCTTCATCCAATCACAGTCTCAGAAACAGAAGGGGCCTTGGTGGCCATCTAGCCCAGCCCCCTACCTGAAAAAAGAATCCCCCCTTTAAATAGCCGCAATAAATTGTCATCCAGTCTCTACTGGGGGCAGGGAGGGGAAGGGGAGGTGGCCCATTTTTTAAAAACAAACAAAAAATGGAAGTTTCATTAATGCCCTTTTAGAGCATGGTCATTTCTCCCCCCCCCCCCGCCTTTTAGAGGCAATTGGGGTTAAGTGACTTGCCCAGGGTCACACAGCTAGTAAGTGTCTGAGGTCAGATTTGAACTCAGGTCCTCCTCACTTGAGGGCTGGCGCTCTATCCTCTAGTCACCCAGCTGCCCCCATAGTCATTTCTAAATAGCATCAGAGACCTGGAAGAGACCTGGGAGGTCATCTGATCTACTCCCCCCCCCCTTTTAGCGATCAAGAAACAGGAAGGTCAAGTAACTTGTCTAAGGTCACCTAGACAAGTATATACCTGAGTCAGGATTTGAACCCAGGTCTTCCTGATGCCAAGACCAGTGCTCTATGCATAGTGTCACACTGCCACTCACAAACGTTCTTCTGGTTCTGCAATAAATCAATCAATAAACACTTATTGGTGTGCCAAGCCCCATACCAGTTCCTGTGGGTCTTCCCACATGTCTTTAAATCCCTCATTTTTGTTGTTTCTTACAGTGCAGTGATTATGCATCCTATCCAGGGACCTGAGCCCATTTGACTCTTCCCTAGGGCATCTCCCGGGTCCTGAGACCCTCATAGACAGCACTACCAGGATGCTTTGCTCTTGGGGATGGCTCTGGGGGAAGAGCAAAGCTATTTTGGAAGGGGCTGGACAGCTGCCGGCCACAAGCCTGTGATGAGTGGCAAGCCTGGCAGGAGGAATTTTCCCCCTAATCCCTTCCCTGCCCACTCTTGTGAGGCATCAATCTCTCTCATGTAATTGGCTGAGGCGGGAGGCAGCTAGTTTCAAGGTCAGCAGTTCCAGGGACAATTTCTATTTGGTTCCCTGGAAAAGGCACCAAGATTATTCTGTGACAAGGGCTTTGAGCCCATTGGGAAGGATTCCTGATTGGGGATTTTAAAAACCCCATTTCCCCTATGACCAGGGCTCTGTCATGATCTGTTAATGCTGGGGTAGTCCCAAGAATGGTACATTGAAAAAGGCATGGCATTGGAGTCAGAAGACCTGGATCTGGGCTCGAATCCTGGGGCAAATCCCTCAATCTCTCTGTTTCCTCATCTGTAAAGTGAAGGGACTGGACTCATTATCCTCTAAGGTCCATTCCAGCTCTAAATCTGTGACCTGTGACCTTCTCAGCCCTAGAAAGGACTTACAAAGTTATCCTAGAAAGGACTTACAAAGTTATCCTACCCAGCCTTGCACTCCTTCCTTCCCTCTCCCCGTCTGCCTCTGCATCCAGCGTCAGCTAAGTGTTTAACAATTGGCCCTCCAACAGGACACGCTTTCCAAAGGACTCTGCACTACTAACATTTTCTCCATCGAGTCTAGACAATCCACAAAGTGATGAATCAGGTTTTGTGAAGCATTTTAACATTTGCAAAGTACTTTATATCTTATTTGGTTTTCACAACAACTCCGGGAGCCAGTTGCTAATTTTATCTCCATTTTACAGAAGAGGAAACTGAGGCCCAGAAGGTTAAGTAAATTGCCCAGGGTCACAAAGGTAGTGCTTAAGGCTGGATTTGAACTCAGGTCTTCCCGACTGCAAGACCAGAGCGTTATCCAATGTGCCACCCAAGTGGTTCCACACCGTGAACCTGCAGCTCTTGGTGGGCATTTATCGAGTGCTTACTGTTTGCCAGGCAAAGTGCCCAGTGCTAAGGAATCAAGTAGGAGCATAGAAGACAAACCTTTGTTCTCCAGGAGCTTCTATTCCAATGGGGGAGACGACATGGAAAAGAACGTAGACTCGAGATAACTTGGAGCAAATGGAAAATGGGGGAGGGGGCTGGGGGGGGCACAGAGGTGAGGAGCAGGTCCATTCTTTTGGTCCAGACCCAGCCGCCTGGACCTCTCAGAGACACGGGACTCCCCTCCCCTAGTCAGCAGAGCCCTGAGACGTCCTTGCCCTTGAGTGCAAATCGATGATAATTTCCCTGCCGGAGAGAAAAAAGCTCCATTGATGGTTTCTGCAGTGATACCGCGGGTCTTGATTTCTTTTTCAAAAGGCTGCAGCCCGGTCAGGCACAGGTGGGGGAGGGGAGTCGATGGAGGCTCCGAGCAGTTTTCTCAGGCCTATCTGAGAGCCTGAATGCCCACTCGGAATGGGCAACTTCGGGTAGGGGGTGCCTGTGGCCTCCCTGGTGTCCTGCCAGCTACATGGGCAGCCGGGGGTGAGCAGCACCACTTGACCTCTTCTTACCTCAGGTAGAAACTCTCTCTTTCCCTCCCTTCCTTCCTTCCTTCCTTCCATCCTTCTTCCATTCCTTTATTCCTTCCTTTATTCCTTCCTTCCTTCCTTCCTTCCCTCCCTTCCTCCCTTCCTCCTTCCCTCCTTCCACCCTCCCTCTGTTCCTTCCTTTTTTTCCTTTTTCCCTCCCTTCCTTTCTGCCCTCCTTCCCTTCCCCCTCCTTCTTTCCTTCTTCCCCCTTAATTCTTTCCTTCCTTCCCTCCTTTCTCTCCTTTCTTTGTTCCCTCCTTTCCTTCCTTCCCTCCCTCCCTCCTTCATTCCTTCCCCCTTAATTCTTTCCTTCCTTCCCTCCCTCCTTCCTTCCTTCCCTCCTTCCTTCCTTCTTCCCCCTTAATTGTTTCCTTCCTTCCTTCCTTCCTTCCTTCCTTCCTTCCTTCCTTCCTTCCTTCCTTCCTTCCTTCCTTCCTTCCTTCCTTCCTTCCTTCCTTCCAGGACATGATGTGTGCAAAGCATTTTATAAATTGTAAAGTCCTATACAAATGTCTGCCCTTATTGCCCCCAGTACCCAACAGAATGTCATGCCTACAGTTGGTGCTTAATAACTGAGCCAGAAGGGATCTTAAAAGTCATTAGTCCAACCAGCTCATTTTTCAAGAAGGAAATTAGATGTTAAGTGATCTGCCTAAAGTCATGCAGGTAGTAAGTGACAGTTGTAACACTGGAATGTCCTTGAACTGGAAGGACAAATGCGCTTCTCTGGCTTGGAGTAAGATTGTGCCTCCAACATGAGGCATCACATTGAGATTGCTGGGGACCCTCCTTGTGTGCATGGTCGGGTGGTGCTAACAGTCCCATCTCTCCCTAGGTCACAGCTGTCAGATGGGAGAGCCCCAGCAGACTGGATGAAGCTGGCGTGGGCACCATGTCATCATGTGTCTCTAGCCAGCCCGCCCCCACCCCTCGGAGAGGCCCACACCTCGGGATGAGAACCCCAAACCCTGCGAGGCCCTTCACGGGCTCTCATCCCTGAGCCTTCACCTGGGCAGTATGGAGTCCTTCATCGTGGTGACTGAGTGTGAGCCTGGCTGTGCCAGCGGGGCCCAGGGCCAGGGCCAGCCGGAGGAGCAGATGGAGCACGGTGGGGAAGAGGACAAGGTTCTCCAAGCACCTGCAGACCCCGGGCCCCAGGCCCGGCCCCACCTCTCTGGCCGCAAGCTGTCCTTGCAAGAGCGGTCCCAGGCCACCCCGTCCCCTGGAGGGAGCAGGAGTGTGAACGGCCGCTTTATCTACCCCTCGCTTCCTTACTCTCCGGTCAGCTCCCCCCAGTCCTCCCCCCGGCTCCCCCGCAGGCCCACGGTGGAGTCTAGACACGTCTCTATCACCGGGATGCAGGTAAGGGGAGTGGCGGGGCACCCCTTATCTCTTGTGGGGTGCCTCTTTGTCTTTCTTCTGTAATGGTGGTTGAGGGATGGCACAGGCTGAGTTCTCATTAGAAGCTACCTTAGAGCAGGGTTGGGGAAGCTGTAGCCTCGAGGCAAAATGATATAGAATGGAAATCGCTAGGCCAAGGAACTGAAACTACTTGCAGGGGTGGGAACCTGTGGCCTCAGGACCACGTGTGGCCCTCTAGGTCCTCAAGTGCAGCCTTTGATTGAATCCAAGCTTCACAGAACAAACCCGATTAATAAAAGGACTTGTTCTGTAAAACTTGGGCTCAGTCAGAAGGCTGCATCTGAGGACCTAGAAGGCCACACGTGGCCCCAAGGCTGAAGGTTCCCCACTCCTGCCCTAGTCATATGCATCAAAAGAAGTTATCCTTTCATGATGAGTCTGGGAGAGTGAGGTGGTCCTAGGTTACGGAGAAAAGAGGAGTTTGACCTTTCCTTGGTAGGAAAGCTGGAGCCACTGAAGATTCTTAAGCACAGGAGTGACATGGTTAGATCTATCTGGAAGAATGATGTACTGAAGGAGGGACAGTCGAGAAGTGTAGACTGTCCAGATTGGTGGCAGTGGGGGCTGGTGGTTTTGAGAACAGAGATCCAGGGCAGATGGGAGCCACATTGTAAAGGTGGGATCCATAGGTCCTAGATGAGAAAGGACAGATGAACACAGGAGACTTCTTGAATGGGGAAGCCGCAGGTCAGAAAGGGAAGTCAGGAGGCAGGGAAAGACGAGTGTTGAATTTAAGGTGCTGGAGAGAAAACCAGATAACTAGAGATAATTTAGTCTGAACCCATTTTACAGATAAAGAAACTGAGACCCAGAGAGGTCAGGTCAGACCTTGCTTGAGGTCCCACAGCTGGGAAGTGTCAGATCAGGGATTCCAGGCCTGATTCTCTGAGTCCAAATCCATCCATTTTCCCTGTAACCCCATGATACTCTGCATGGAGGGGTCAGGTGATTGCACCTCCACTGTCCCCCTCCCCTACCTGGCCTGAACTTCCTGGGTGTGTTTCCTTGAAGGCTGAACTTGGGGCTTTCACTGAGTTCTGGGATTCCGTGGCTCAGCCTTGCAGGTTCCTGGGGTAGGCTATCGCTCCCCCCAATTAGGTTAAGCAATCCTGGGACCTTTCCTGGGGATGGAGACAGAGGAGACTCAGAGCAGGCAAGGAACAGCCCCAAGGACGCATGCTGAGTGAGTGGGAGAGCCAGGAGCAGAATGGGGGTCTCCTCACTCCCCAGTCCAGCATTCTTTCCACTAAAAGCTCTTGGTTAAGCCCCCCACAGCGTGGTACAGTGGAAAGCAGAGCAGCTTAGGAGTCTGAGGTCCTGGGTTCAGAGCCCACCCCTGAGGCTTATTGCACAAGTGTGTCCTTGGACAAGTCATTTAAAGCACCCGGCCCTGTTTCCACATCTCTAAAATGAACAGGTTGGACTAGGCAGCCGCCAGGCCTCTTCTTGTCTAGAAGCCTGTTTTTGTTATTTTTCTGTTGTTTCAGTCATGTCTGACTCGGTGACCCCTTTTGGGTTTTCTTGGCAGAGATACTAGAGTGGTTTGCCATTTCCTTCTCCAGCTCATTTTACAGATGAGGAAACTGAGGCAAATGGGGTTAAGTGACTTGCCTAGGGTCACACAGCTAGATAGTGTCTGAAGCCAGATTTGAATTCAGGTCTTCCTGACTCCAGGTCCTGTACTCTGTGCACTATGGTGCCTCATAACTGCCTGCTTTTTTCATATTCTTTGACCACTCATCTATTGGGAATGGTTTTTAGTCTTATATATTTGTTAGCCAGCCGTGTATCCTGGATGTCAGATATCTGATACAAAATTTTTCCACAGTGTACCATTTGCTACTAATTCTAGTTGTATTAATTTTGTTTATGCAAAAGAGTTTCAGTTTCACATAATCAGAATTATCCATTTTATCTCATAATTGCTTCTAGCTCATTTGGTTATTAATAATAACAGTACTAGTAGCTGTGTTATTATGTAATAATAATGGCATTTCTAGCTAATAATAATAATAATAATAATAGTAAGAGCACTTTAAGTTTGGGGCGTGTTTCTTCCCTGCTCGGGTCTGATTTGTCTCTGACTGGAAAAGCTCATCCTCGAGGAAGGGCCCCAGGATTGCTTAACCTAATTCCCAGCAAAGATACTGGCAGGAACCTGCAGGGCTGAGCTGTGGAATCCCAGAGTTCATTGAAAACCCCCAAGTTTAGCCTTCAAGGAAACACACCGAGGAAATTCAGGTCAGGTTGGGGGAGGCAGGCAGAGGAGGAATTCATTAAGCTCTTTACATATGTTATCCCATTTGATCCACACAAAAGCTCTGGGAGGGAGGTATGATTATTACCCCCATTTTAAAGGTCAGGAAACTGAGGCAAAGAGATCAAGAGACTTGCTCAGGGTCACACTTGAGACCAGTGTTTTTGCCTTGCCATTTCACCTTGCTGGGTTTGCTTATCTTTGGAGCTCATGGCATCTGTGGGATGGTTACCAGTGGACTAGAAATAAGACGGGATTAGAGGCTGAGATAACCAGCTAAGCATTTTAGGATCTACGCACAGAAGGAAGTAGACCAGCTGTGTGTGAAGCCTCAGCTTCTCTAATTATGAGGTTGGGAGGAAGTCACTGCAATTCCACCTGCGGTGGGAGAGCCTCATGGATGGAAACCCAGGGGAGGAGGCAGCCCTGGGCAGCCTGGAGTCCTCCAGGCTCACAAGGCCTGCAAAAACCCAGGAGGATGCTGGGGAGGCCCCACAGTCACTCCCCACCCCCAAGTGTCTGATAGCAGAGGAGTCCCTTTGCAGAGGGTAGAAGTTCCCCAGGCCCTGGCCAGGCACCACCCTTCTTTTATGTCCTGGAGCCAGATCTTTACGGGGAGGGTGATATCTTCATTAAGTCCTTACCTGTGGCCAGATCCGAGAGGCCAAGATTTTGGGTACAGGCAGGGCCCTCTCTGACTCTGCAGCCATGGAGGGAAATCTCACCTGTCAAAGAGGAGTCTGTTCCTCTGAGGGAAAACCCCCTTTCAAATTAGCTTTTTAAAATCTTATTGTTAATGATAGAGGATAGAGACCAGACTTGTGATTTCATCGGTCTGGGGACCTCCCAGGTGAGGAAACTCCCTCTCCTGATTCAGGTTAGCATCTTTACAAATTTTATACGATGAGGGAGTCAGTCAACAAATATCTGTTAAATGCTTACTCTGTCCTTACTTAGCATTGTGCGGAGTGCCAGGGGTTCAGAGAAAAGCAAATACACATAAGTGCCTGCCCTCAGGGAGCTCACAGTCTAATTAGGGAGGCAACATGCAAACAACAGAGTCAGTAGGAGGTAATGTCAGAAGGAAGTGGACTGTAGGGAAAGGCCTCTCGCCAAAGAAGAGATCTGAGCTCGATGGGGTGATGGGATCTGGACCCCAAAAGTTCTAAGACTGTGTCTCTGGGATTATCAGAGCAAACACACTGACCCAAGGCCTCTCTCTTTGGTGTCACATGTTCAAAGACCAGCCCCTGGCAGCGAAACAAAAAAACCTGTCTTTTCTCCCTCAGTGTCTGGTATCAACAAAGTTATCTCTGCAGACTCTGCAGACTGTGGATTTTCCCATCCATGGATCACAGGCACCTTCTTTCAAAGCTCTGGGACCACTCATGTATGCTGACCGCTCCCTAACCCCATCCCACCCCCCCACCCCCATCACCTAATTAGCATCCTTGGCATCCTCTCACTGTCCCTCTTCCATATAAGCTTTAACATCACTCCTATCCAGGTTGCAGGTTCCCTAAGAACCCTTGCCTGTTTCTGTTGGCATCATAATAAACTTTGCCACTTGACTGGAGGATGGTTTGAGTGTGTGAATTCATTCCAGGCAATGCCACCCTGTACCCTGACATTTTGGGGTCCCAGCACCCCTAAACTGTGTCAACACCCCTGAACCTCATCAAGGTGAGCCTTGCAGAAATCCAGGAAAGCCAAGAGGTAGAGATAAGGAAGGAGAGTATTCTAGGCGTGAGCCACAGCCAGGGCAAAGGCACGGAGGTGGGATTTCCCGTTTGGTGTGAGGAAGAAGCAGCAAGAAGACAGTATTGCTGGATCTTATAGGAAGGGGCCCAGTTTGAAGGGTTTTAAATGCCATTTTATACTGGATCCTGAGGGTAATAGGGAGCCACTAGAGTTTATTGAGGAGGGAAGGTACTGAGAACACTAAGAGGTTAATTGGCTTTTCTAGGGTTTCCCAGCTCACATATATCCGAGATGGGGCTTAAACCAGGCCATCCAGTTCTGAGGCCAGCTCTCTATGCCCCAGGCCATGCTGCCTCTCTTTTTAATGAGATCTTTTGTTTTTACAAGGCAATTTGGTTGTTTAGTCATTTTCAGTCACATCTGACTCTTTGTGACCCCATTTGGGGTTTTCTTGGCAGAGGTACCATTTCCTTCTCCAGCTCATTTTACAGATGAGGAAACTGAGGCAAGCAGGGTGAAGTGATTTGCCCAGGGTCACACAGCTAGTAAGTGTCAAGTATCTGAGGCTAGATTTTGACTTAGGTCCGCCTGACTCCAAGGCCAGAGCTCTATCCACTGTACCGCCTGGCTGTCCCCTAACAAGCATTTATTAAGCAGCTCCTGTGTGCCGGGCACAGGTACCGAGGTGACAGACGAGAATGAGACAGGGACACAGTGGAGGAGAATGTTGGCTTTGGAACCGGGTGACCCGAGCTGGAATCCCCGCTGGAGGACTTCAGACCCACCACTTCACCTCTGTTTCCTCCATTTGACGCGACCGCCCTTGAAGATCTCTTCCTGCTCTGGATTGGATTCCCTGGGGCCCTACTGGGGGCAAATAGCAGGAGGTTGGACAGAATACCAAGAAATCAGGAGTGAGATGACCTTGGCTGGAGGCCGTGGCAGAGATTCCAAGAGGTTGGACGTCAGGGAGGCATGGGGGACAGCCCAGTCAGGAGCTGACAGATGTCATGGATGGGGACCAGGAGGCTTCCCAAACTTGCTTAGTGGATTGACTATTGATGACCTGGAGGCCAGTGTCCAAGTGTCCTCTTAGCTGGGCAAAGGCTCGGAGGTGTGGTTCCCTTAGGCCCCCACCGCTTTGTTGGGTCAATTCCACCTTGAGGTCAGCTAGGTGGCAATGGATAGAGATTGCTTATATTGGAGTCAGGAAGACCCGAGTTCAAATCCTGCCTCTGTGACCCTGGACAAGTAACTTAACTTTTGTTTTGGTTTCCTCAACTGTAAAGTGGGGATAATATTATCCACCTTCCAGGATGAGATAGTATTTGTAAAGCACTTTGTAACCCCTACAACACTGTATTAATGCTGGCTGTTGTTGTTGTTACTGATTTCTTTTCTGCCTTGCAAAGAGGTCTGGGAGAGTAGGGGTGGTAACACATTTTTTTCTACTTTCTTTCCCTGTAATGGTTTCTGGGGCTTGCCACTTTCCTGTTCAGGGGATCAGAGTCCAGACATTTTCTGCGTGTCCAGGGGGCCTCTGAGCCCACCCCCTACCTGTCTGGGCCTAGCCAGAGGTGACTTTTTTTTTTAAACTTTTATTTTTCCCAGTTAATAATGATTTATTTTCTCTTCCCCCTTCCCTTACACCCCTTGACAAGGATGCCTCTGACGTTTTCCCCCTTGTCTCCTTCTCTCTACCACAGGACTGTGTACAGCTTAATCAGTATACGCTGAAAGATGAGATTGGGAAGGTAAATAGAAAGAGGGGGTGGGGCCTTTAGGGTCTGGGCTGGAGCCTCTCAGATACTTGAGGCCGGGGCTGGGAGGAAGAGGGAGAGGGGGGATGGGAGAGGAGGTGGCCTCGGGGAGGGTAGAGCTCTGTTCAATTTGGTGCAGATGCTTTTGGTGGTTTTCTTTGTTTTTTGAAGAAAATTTAAGTTATTTATGGAAGAAAAAACACTTCTTCAGGCCCCAAATCTTCCATTACAGTGGTGAGGATATTGTTCCCTTATGGTCATGGAAGCTTTGAGCCAGAAGGAATCTTAGGGGCACCTACCCAGATCTGGACTTGGGCAGGGGTCTCTGCTATGGCAACCCAGATAAATGGTTGCTCAGCCTTTCCTTGAATGCCTCCATTGGAATCACTTAGCCCAACCCCTCTGTTTTATATATGGGGAAACTGAGGCCCCGGAAGGAAGAGGGACTCGCTTAAGGTCACAAGAGTTAGCAAGAAACAAAGAAAAAATGTCTGTTTCACAGTGATCTGCAGGGGGAAATGGAAGAGAGTATGCTTGGCTCAGGTCAGCCCAGCCACATACTGGAGAGAGGGTCTGGAGCACAGCAGACCATAGATTTAGAGTTGGAAAGGACCTTAGAGGTCATTTTACAAATGAGGAAACTGAGGCACTAAAGTTAAGTGACCTGCCTGGAGTAACCCAGCCAGTAAATGTCTGAGGTGGGATTTGAACCCAGGCCTTTCTGACTCCCAAGTCTTCATTCCTCTACTATATCATCTACCTTTCTGGCGACTGGAGCATCAAGTCCCCATGAGAAGGACAGCCCATTATTTCGCATGGAGGGAGCCAGATGGGTTCTCTTTCATCGCCTTTAGTGAGAGCAGTACAGAGTATGTTTCTGGCTTTATGCTTGGTGCCGCAGAAATAACTGAAATGGAGAAAAGACACACAGGAAATACTAACAATCTTGGGCTGACCTGCCAGTTAGGGCCCTGGGACCTGGGAGTGCTTGGGGGTGGGTTGGGTGGTCACGAAGGTTGCTTGGGCTCTGAGCTTGACCTCGAAGGGTGGGTGGGAGTTGTAGGGGTGTCTGCAGTGGGGGGCGGCAGCTGTGGCTATTCTAGGTCTATGGGGGGGGACTGTGGCAGGCTGCATCCAGACCAGGCTGGCCAGGGGAGCTCTTGGGGAACACCCCTGACCCCGGCCCGGGGGATGCTGAGAGGGAAGACTCTCAGGAAGGGAGTATCACGGACTTGTTCTCCTTCGTTCAGGGTTCCTATGGTGTGGTCAAGCTGGCTTACAACGAAGATGACAATACTTACTATGTGAGTACCTGGCTTCCCGCCCTCGTGGGCCCCTGTTCTGCAAGAGTGTGAACTCCTGGAGAGTAAAAACTGCTTTCTGTGCACCGGCTTCCCATTCAGTGCCCTGCCTCCTTGCTTGGATTAAGTCCTTCCAACTCCCTTGTTTTACAGATGAGGAAACTGAGGCCCAGAGAGGTCATAGCACCATAGATTCAGAGCAGGAAGGGACCCCAGAGGTCATGAGTCCACCCCCTCATTTCACAGATGTGGTAATGAAGGCCCTGAGTGTGGGGCAGGGGGTGAAGCAGCTTGCCCCAAGTCAGCAGAGGGTAATTAGCAAATGCCAGAACCAGGTTTGCTTGGATCCTGTGAAGATGAACCCAGCACTGTTTTCCATGGGACCGCAGTGGGGGAGATGGAATCTTGGGTTTGCTACTGACCACCTGTGTGACTTTGAGCAAACCACTGGAGGTCTTTGGGACTCTGTAAAATGAAGGGTTTGAACTGTTACTACTAATAGAAATAATAATAACGATAATAGCTAGCATTTATAAGGTACTTCGAAGTGCACACACTGTCTCATTGAATCCTCCCCATAACTCTGAGAAATCAATACTATAATTGTTCCCATTTTACAAATGAAGCAGCTGAGGCTGACAGTGACTTGCCCAAGGTCAAACAAGTCCTCTGAGGTGGGATTTGAACTCGGGGCTCCTGACTTCAAGCCTAACACTATGCACAGTGCCATTCAGTTGCCTGGAAGCACCGGGGTACTTCTGAGGACACTTCTAGCTCTGAAGTGATGACGATATACTAATAACAATAATAATGATAATAATAATAGCAGCTAGCATTTACATGATACTTTGAGGTTTGCGAAATGCTTTACATGTGTGATCTCATATGATTCTAAGAGCCATAGAATATGATCCTGTGATGAAATCATCCCTATGTGTTCAGAAAGTGGTTTTGTATCCATTTTTGCAAATGGCGAAACTGAGGCACAGTCAGAGGAAGGGGCTTACTAAAGTCACACAGTGGGTCATTGTCAGAGCCAGGACTACCACCCCCAGGGCTTGCGGCCCCCAAGTCCTGGCCCTTTCTCCTAGACCACACTCTCTTTCAGTGGACGTATATTTTCTAGCTGTCTTGCCCCAAACCCTCTCCTTTGGCCCCTTTATTTGATGGGAAATCCTGGCCATTGGAGCTTCCCACAAGGCTGGGAGGATCTGTTGGAGAGTTATGTTCTTCTGTGCTCAGAGCAGTGACTTGAGGCCGTGAGGGCCTAGCAGGAGGGTCCTGAATAGATGCAGAATCCACCTCCCCCGTTGGGCTGACTCATCAACAGTAACTTGGACCTTGGGAATTTTCTCTTCCAGGCCATGAAGGTGCTTTCCAAAAAGAAGCTGGTGCGGCAGGCGGGCTTCCCCCGTGAGTGTATGGGCTCGGGATGAGGGATTGAAACAGTGCATGGGAGCGCTGGTTTGGGAGGTGGGGCAGGGTGGCCCATGACAGGAGATGGCGGTCTGGGCTAGAGATGGGGGCAGGTGAGAGGACTGGAAAGGAGATGGGCTTTCAAGTTAAGCCTCTTAGTTCTGGCTGCCTTCTCCCTTCCCTTGGCCTCCCCTCCAGCCCTTCCCCCTCCTTGGCCTCCACCCTTCCCCCTCTTCTTGGCCTCCACCTCCTCCCTCCTCCCTTTGGCCTCTATACTCCCTCCCTTTGGCTTCCACTTCCTCCTTTTGCCCCTTGGCCTCTACATTCTTCCTTCTCTTTGGCTTTTCTTCTAACCCCCACACATTTGCATCCACCTCCTCCCTTCTCCTCTTGGCCTCCCCTCCATCCCCCCTCACTTTGACCTCTATCTCCTCCCTTCTTTTCTTAGCCTCCCCTCTATCCCTCTTCTCCTTGGCTTCCACTCTTCCCTCCTCTTGCTCCCCTCCATTCCCCTTCCCCTTGGCTTCTACCTCCTCCTTTCTTCTCTTGGCCTCCCTTCTATCCCTCCTCCTCTTGGCCTCTACCTCCTCCCTTCTCTTCTTCGCCTCCCTTCTATTCCTCCTCTTCTTGACTTCTACCTCTTCCCTTCTCCCCTTGGCCTCCATCTCCTCCTTTCTCTTGGCCTTCCCTCCATCCCCTCTTCTCTTGGCCTCCACCTCCTCCCTTCTCTTCTTGGCTTCCACACCCCTACCCCTCACCTTGCCATCTGCCACTGGAAGAAGTGCAGGAGGAGAAACAAAGGACAATTTTGTTACTACCTTGTTAACTTAATATCCACTTAAAAGAAACAATACTGTCCATAACAAGTTCTGTGTATGATCATCTTGTTTGTCCATTGAATGTTGCAATGTGTAAATAGCTGAGTAATACAGAGTAGACAGACAATCTGCTGGTCTCATGTAGCCCAAGATCACCTTAGCTTTCTCGGCCGCCATGTTGAACTTGCAGCTCACTAAAATCTCCAGGCATTTTTCAGACAAATGTCTATCTCCCCCTGTCCCGTCCTTCCCTCTTGTTCTCATTTAGGTGATTTTTTTTTTTAGGCCAGGCAATGGGGTTAAGTGACTTGCCCAGGGTCACACAGCTAGTTAAGTGTCTTGTGTCCAAGGTTGGATCTGAACTGAATCCAGGGCCAGTGCTCTATACCCTGTGCCACCTAGCTGCTCCTAGGTGATTGTTTTTTAACCAATTATAAGTCCTTCCATTTATCCTAACTAAATTTCATTTTCTTAGATTTGGACCAGTGGCCTAGCCTGGCCCAGGTCATCCGGTGCTTCAGAAAGAAGAGGCATTTATGTTGGGCCTGGATGGGGTATCAGCAGGCCAAGATGGGGTTGAGGGGCATTCCACATATAAAGGATAGCTTGAGAAAGGCACAGAGACAGGAGAGGCTGCAGACCATGGGTGGTAAATAGTCCAGTTGGGTTGGACTGTGTGGTGTGTAGGTGGGAATAATGGGAAATTAGGCTCCAAAGGTTTGTTGGAACCAGGTTGTACCTAGAATTCCCAGATCATGAGCTCGATCTCCACTGAGATCCCAAGCAAGAAGTTAGGGAAGGTGCCTGAGCGGTGGAGAGGCCCCAGTATCACAGATTCCCATTGCTGGACTTCTTCTGGTGTGGCTGACTCTTCCTCCAACCTCACAGGTCTTCACAGTGCGATGTGTTCATTCTTCCCTACCAGGCCGGCCCCCACCCCGTGGCACCAAGCCCGCCTCGGAAGGCTGCATTCAACCCAAGGGCCCCATTGAACAGGTCTACCAAGAGATCGCTATTCTCAAAAAGCTGGACCATCCCAATGTGGTGAAGCTGGTGGAGGTGAGATGGCAGGGAGGTGGGAAGAGAAGGGTGAGGGCAGCACAGCTTTGAGATTAAGCAGCCCATGTGGAAAATTAACGTATCAAAAAAGGTCAGACATTATATGCACTATTTCATATCTATAGTCCCCCACCTCTGCAAAAGAGGTGGAGGGAGGGGAGCCAAAACACTTTGGATAGGCCTATTAATTAATCATGCAGATGGGAATTTGCCTGCTCTTATGATAAGTGTGGGGCAGCTGGGTGGCAAAGTGGATAGTGCTGGGCCTGGAGTCAGGAAGACCTGAGTTCAAATCTAGCCTTAGACATTTTTCTAGCTGTGTGACCTTGTCAAGTCCCTTGACCTTTCTAGGCCTCAGTTTTTTAAAACGAGAAGATGTCTGCGGTCCTTTCCAGGCCTAAATCTATTATCTGATGATCCCATGGAAAAGACCTCAAAAATTGTTTTCACTGGGGCAGTGCCTTGCTGACCTTTCACCTGAGAATTGGTGGGTGCAGGAGGTGGGGCCCTGCTTAGCTTCTTCTTGAAGCTGAAATTGCAGACTTCATCAGTGTTGGAAACTCCCCTTCCTGCATCTAAGGTTTAGCAGGTAAGTCCTAGGGAGGTTCCTGGGGCACAGAGGCATTAGGGGACTTGCTTGGAGATTGCACAGGCAGCATATGTTAGTGGAAGGATTTGAACCCAGATCATACTAACTCCAAATAGTAATGTCCACTCCATACCACTGCACAGTCTTGAGAATCTTCACAAGCACAGGTGAGGAAGATGTATGGGGAGAGGAAAGACACAACTTGTGAGGATTTATGCAGTTGTTCCAGAAGTCTGGCCACACTGTACCACGGGAAGTGATATTTTAGTTCCCAAGCCCTGGTCCTTCTCTCCACGTCTTTGTCTTCGTTTGGGAGAGGAGAGAATGGAGGGTGTAGCAGGCCTGCCACTAAAGCACAGAGTGGGAGGATATTGACCTTATGCCTTCCCATCCTTTCCACTCTCTTCTCTCCTAACCTCTCCCGTGTTTGTGTCTTTCTTGACAGGTCCTGGATGACCCAAATGAGGACCATCTGTACATGGGTAAGAAAGCCAGTTTATCTTTTTGCTGCCCCCAAAGCCCCAGTGGCCCTTCCTTCTCTACTCGCTGAGATGCCCTTTCACTTGTGATAATAGCTTATATTCTATAGCACTTGGAGGGTGGCTAGGCATTGTCAACTTTGAACCTTACAACAACCTGGTGTGAAGTAGGGGCTATTATTATCCCCGTTTTACAGATGAACAAACTCAGACATGGAGCAGTCAGCTAAGTGACTTGTTCATAGTCATACAGCTAGAATGAGTGTCTGGGGCAGGATTCGAATCTAGGTCTTCCTGACTGCGGGTGGGCAGCTTAGTACAGTGAAAAGAGCTCGGTTCAGGGGCAGAGGATAGGTCAGTAGGACTTGGACCCGTGATTTCTTTGGTATAGGGAATTCCCCCTTCTCTCTCTCTCTCTCTCTCTCTCTCTCTCTCTCTCTCTCTCGCCCTCTCTGTCTCTGTCTCTGTCTCTGTCTCTTTCTCTTTCCCTCCCTCTCCCTCTCCATCTCCCTTTCCTTCTCTCCCTCTCTACTGACACCAGTGTCTAAGGCTGGATTTGAACTCAGGTCTTCCCGACTCCATGTCCACTTAGCTGCCTATGGGAAGTAGTGGGGAAGGTTAGACTACATGGCCTCCGAGGTCTCTTCTAGTGCCCCATTCGTGGTCCTTTGACGCAGGAAATGAAAGGCCTTGTCCTCAAGGAAATTCCAGCCCGAAGAGGGATAAGAGAGATTAGCAGTCACTACTGTAACAGTCTCTCCTGTTGGTGCTGATTAGAAGGCATTGGGCTAAGTGCTTTATGAATATTATCTCATCTAATTCTCACAACCACCCTGGATAGTAGGTGATATTATTATCTCCATTTTACAGATGAGGAAACTGAGGCAGATGTTGGTTAAATGACTTGCCCAGGGTCATACAGACTAGTAAGTGGCTCAGGCTGGATTTGAACTCAAGTCTTCTTGACCCCAAAATCTAGCTGTTTTTCTTGACAGACAAAAGTCCCAGATAATAATAATAATAGTAATAATAATAAAAACCAGGAAGAATTTCTTCTGTTGGAATTGGGGCTGTATTCTGGGCTGTATCACTTTTTTTGGTCACAAGGCCCTCTTTGTGACTATGTTTGGTTTGGGCTAATATGCAAATGAACCTGTTTTTCTTGAGTCTATGCCACATAGCAGTGGGCAGGGAGGACTCGGCATCCTGGGAATGGAGGGAAGGGGGTGGGAGGAAGAAGAAGGCAGCAACCTGTGCTTTCCACACTGTGGATAATCCACACTCATGGGGGGCATGGAAAACTCACGGCACAGAATGCCAGATGGGACTCAAAGCATCTGAGAATTTTATGAGAAAGTTACCTAGAACTAGGGTGTGCAGAGGAGCATGTTGTCCTTGGGAGGATGGCTATGAAGTCGGAAGAGTCTGCCCTCAAAGCATCTTGGAAAAGTCCTCTTTGGAAATTCCAGCATCCCAGGCCTGGAAGGGACCTCAGATATCCCCTAGCCGAAGATGGGGGAAGTGCCCAAATCTCCCTTGTACAACATGCCTGACTGTCCAGCCTTGGCTTGGAGACCTCTAGGGGTGGGGAACTCACCAGACCCTGAAGCTGCCCATTCCTCTTCTGGACAGTTCTCACTATTTAGAAGTTTTTTCTTAGAGGCAGCTAAGGGACCCGGTGGATAGGGTGATAGAATTAGCAAGACCCGAGTTTGAATCTTTCCTTAGATATGTACTATGTGTGACCCTGGGCACACTTTGGCCTCACTTTCCTCATCTATTAAATGGTAATGATAATGGTACCTACCTCATAAGGTTGTTGTAAGACTCAGATGAAATAACACATATAAAGCGTTTGCAAACTTTAACACATTACATAAATGCTAGCTATTTTATCATAATATTGAGCATAAATGAACCTTTCTGCAATTGTAGCCTGCGATCCTGGTTCTTCCCCCCTGGGGCCAAGTCCAGTCCACTCTTACATGTTACAGCCCTTCAAACTTGAGGACTGTTCTCCCCCTGCCCGCCTCCCCACCCCTCCCCCAGCCTTCTTTTGCCCAGACTAAATAATTTCAGGTGCTTCAACTTTGCCCAACACTGGTTCCAGTCTTCTTGTCCTTCTCTGTACACTATTCATTCATCTCAGTATAATTCCTAAAATGTGCCCAGAGCTGATTACATTACTCGAGATGTATTCTGTCTAGGGCAGAGGGCAACAGCCGGTCACCTCTCTTGTTCTAGACCTTTGACCCCTAGTCATGCAGCCTGAGATCCCATTGGCTTCTTTGCTGCCGTGATAGGTTATTGAAGCATGGTGCTTCCAGTCCACTATGACCCTTGGCTCTTTTTCACATCAGTCACTTAACAAACACAGGAACTATGGCCCAGTCACATTTCCCCCCCCCATCTTGCATTTGTGAAGTTGATTTTTTTAAAATTTTGGCAGCCCGAGTATAGGATTTCACATTTGTTCCCTCACCTTTTACTGTATTTGGTTCATCATCCTTGCCTTTCAAGATTTTTTTTATCCTAATTCTATCATTTCAGTGTGTTAGCTATTCTACCCCGCTTCCTGTCATCTCCTGATTTGCAAAGAGCACACCATCTGTCTCTTAATGCAGCTCATTGATAAAAATGTTGAATTATAGTCATAAATCCTAAAGAGAATTACAAACCTACAAATATGAGTTATTGCTAACCAAAAAAATCCTGCGAAAGAAATCTGTTCTATAGCTAGATCCTGATTAGTGCAAAGAACGAGTCCCCTGAAGTGGCTGCATTATTCAAATTCGCATCACATTTTCCTCCGCCGGGAATACATGGCCATATCTTACATAATTATAACTGTGAATAATTTGAATTCAAGTACATGTGACCACTTCAGGGGATTCATTATTCACCCTAATCGGGACCTAGCTGTACTGATTTTACTGATGAAGAAAACAAAAATGAGGGTATCATAGCTAGTTAAGTGTAGGAGGAGAGATTTGAACCCAGGCTTTCTTGGCTATAAGTCTAGTGCCCTATCCACTAGGCCATGTGGTGTACGCTTCCTCTTTGCTCCCAAGAGTCGACTCAAGCTGCCTAATGATAACGTAACTGAGTTACATAATACACGTCACTTTCTGCTTGTGTATATTACCAGTTAACAGAAAAGAAGGCTGTGTCTGATAGGGGGTTAGAGCTGGAAAGGGCCCCAGAGATCATCTGCTCTGGTTTTAGAGAGGAAGATACTGATACTCTGACTGTGTCTGAGGCCCCAGAGAGAATGAGCCTTATTGGGTTGTTTAGCTGTTTCAATCATGTCAGACTCTTTGTGACCCCACATGGGATTTTCTTTGTAAGGATACTGGACTGGTTTGCCATTTCCTTCTCCAGCCCATTTTGCAGATGAGGAAACTGAGGCAAACAGGGTTAAGTGACTTGCCCAGGGTCACACAGCTAGGAAGTGTCTGAGGCTGGATTTGAACTCAGGAAGGTGAATATTCCAGACTCCAAGCCTGGTGCTCTATCCACTTAGCTACCCAGCTGCACCAGATTGTGAACCCAGGTTCCTGATTCCAAACTCGTTCTTTCTACATTCCCCCATTGGCTGTCTCAGCTTTTGGGGGCCCCACAGGCTTGATCACCATAGCCTCTCTGGGCCCCTTTTCTCCCCGTCTGAAGCCTCTAGAATTATTGAGCAATTTGGGACAGAAATGGGCTGGTTTTATACAAACAGATCAACCCACTGGCTCCTGGCTGGTTTCTGGTATTCGGTATTCGGGTGGAGTGAGGCCCTAGATACTTAGTAGCTGGGAGGGAGCTGGATCATAGTGGGTTTTATGAACCAGCCCTCAGCCATAAAGACTAAAATAACCGAGAGAAATGTGGGCCAGATCCGGCCTCCGTGATCTGTGATCTGCCAGGGGCTTAGACAGCTGGTTGAATTCTCCTCTTGCCTTCTTCTCTGAAGTCTTTTCCAAAACACATCAATGCCGTGCCCTCAATTGTAGCCACGGCTGCTTTGTCCTAACTTGTATTGGCCTGCCACACATCAGCTTTGAATTTAAGGCTTGGACAGTGTACGCTGTATTGTGGCATACAAACGCAGCCCGCTGTGGGGAAGAGGGTTGTCAGACTTGGGTGGAGTCAAGAGACCTGGGTTTGAATCCTCCTGAGGCTAGCAATGTGATGAGCATTTTTGCTATTGTTACCGAGTCGTTTTACTTATGTCTGACTCTTTGTGACCCCTTTCTGGGATTTTCTTGGCAGAGATACTGGAGTAGTTTGCCATTTCCTTCTCCTGCTCATTTTAAAAATACTGTTTTAAAAAATTTCCTCCAGTTACCTGTAAAGATGATTTTTAACATTCATTAAAAAAATTTTTTTTTGAGTTCCATATTTTCTCTTCCTCCCTTACCTCCCTCCTCTGAGACAGTAACCATTCACAGCTGTCCATTGTACAATGTTGCTGTCACTGTGTTCAATGTGGCATTCATATACCATCAGTTCTTCGGAAGTAGATAGCAGAACTGTCTTGGATCATTGTATTGCTGAGAATAGCTAAGACATTCACAGCTGTCCATCATACAATGTCGCTGCTTCTGTGTTCAGTGTTCTCCTGGTTCTGCTCACTTCACTCTGCATCAGTTCATATAAGTCTTTCCAGGTTTTTCTGAAGCCATTTTTCATAGTGCAGCCATAAAGCACAACTTGTTTGCCAGCTCATTTTACAGATGAGGACTTAGTTATGGACAAATTCCTTTATGTCTGGGCCCTCAGTTTCTTCATCTGTAGAATGGGGCAGATAACACTTGCACTACCGACTTACAAGGGCTGTTGGTTTGCTGAACCTTCAAGTGCTATGGAAACATGGGTTTTAATATTTGTTTCCTTTTCTGAGAATGCTGAGGGTACTGGGAGGCTGCAGGCATTTGAACTCTGTTTCTGAGGAATTCAACTCCCTCCCTTTTGCTTTCCCATCCCCTACTGGTATATAAACTTAGAGGATGTTTTTTGGGAAAATTCTGGTGAATAAAGCGAACTCTACTTGGCCATGGGAGGGGAGGAGTTGGCAAGGGGAGGGGAGGACAAGACTGGATTGTAGAATGACCAGCTCCTAATTTGTCACCTCTCTTTCCTTACAGTGTTTGAACTGGTCAATCAGGGGTGAGTATTCCAGGCCAAGAGCTCCACCATCTTTCCCAAGGGGCCAAGCTGAGGGCTGTGAGCCCAGAGGCTGAGGGAAGGGAACCATTACATTGACCTAATTAGATTTCTTTTTTTTCCTGATGAACGCTCAGGCCTGTAATGGAAGTGCCAACAGTTAAGCCACTGAGTGAGGACCAGGCCCGATTCTACTTCCAAGATCTGATCAAAGGCATTGAATACTGTAAGCCAGTTTTGAATAAGTCTGGGAGGACAGTAGAGTATTCAGGGGGGTGGAGGCACTTTTCGATTTCCTGAATTTCCCTGTGGGGGGAGGGGAGGAGTACATTCGCTAAGATATAGTCACAAACTGCCTTAGATTCTGCAATGACTGTCAGATCATTTTACAATTACAGATTACAATGACAGTCAGATTTTGTTGTCCCGTCATGTCCGACTATTTGTGACCCCTTTGGGGGTTTTCTTGGCAAAGATACTGGACAGGTTTGCCATTTCCTTCTCCAGCTCATTATACAGATGAGGAAACTGAGGCAAACAAGGTTAAGTGACTTGCCCAGGGTTACCCACCTCGTAAGTGTCTGAGGCCAGATTTGAACTCAGGTCTTCCTGACTCAAGACCAAGCGCTCTATCCACCGAACCACCTAGCTGCCCATTACGGTCAGAAATCAAAGACAAATCTTGGATGAATAAAAGTCAGGATATCTCCCAAATAACACTGAGGTCATCATAGTTGGCTTAAAGTTCGAAGGATAGAAAGGTGGCCAGTCTTTAGGGAAGAGCAATTAGATATAATATGGATTATCCTTTGTTTACTTTTCAAACCAGGAAGCCACAACTCTTGGTATTTAATTAACAAACTATTACTTGAATCATGGCCTTTTGCAAATAGAAGGAAGGAAGGAAAGGAGCATTTATTAATAAGCACCTACTGTGTGCTAGGCACTACTTCACAGGTACATCATTTGATCCTCACAACACCTACGGGAGGGAAAGAGGTGCTATTTTTATCCCCATTTTACCTTTGAGGAAACTGAGGCAGGCAGATATTAAATGACTTGGACAGGGTCACACAGCTAGCAAGTGTCTTAAGGTTGTATTTGAACTCAGGTCTTCTTGACTCAGGCCCAGTGTACCACCTAGTGGTCTCATGGGAACATGCTTGGATTTTCCAGGTCTTGCCTCTCTTATCTGGATGCCAGTGAAAGCAATTATCATAAGACATGACTTAAACTAATACTCAGTTTTGGCACCAAAGAATAATTTGTGAAGTTTTGCTCCCCACAATGGGCCTTCGGTCTCTAGCGGGAACAATGACTCCTGCTTATTTTGAAGGTGGAAGGAGGCTCCCTCAGAGATGGTCTCCCCCTCCCTTGAGAGCAGGGTTGGAGTTGGGGCAGTGGAGGGGAACGGGAGGAAAGCAGAGAGCCTGAGCTGTCTGCAAGGCACAGGCTTCCAAATCCTGAGGGAGTTTGGAGTCTTCCCTGACACATTTTTCCCTTTCTAGAAGGTGGAAAAAGCACGTGTGTTGGTCTCAGGAGACCTAGGTCTGAGCCCAGGCTACCATTAGCTGGCTTGGAACTCCCCTTGATTTCCCAGTTTTCCTTATCTGTAGAATGGGGCCAGTACCACTGGTGCTCTAGGGTTGCCAGTCAGTTCTGGGAGTGTGTGAGCCTTTTTTGGTGTTATCCGGGGTCTGACCTGAGCCCCCCCTGCCCCCAGTGCACTACCAGAAGATCATCCACCGAGACATCAAGCCTTCCAATCTCCTGGTTGGAGAGGATGGACACATCAAGATTGCGGACTTTGGGGTGAGCAATGAATTCAAGGGCACCGACGCCCTCCTCACCAACACCGTGGGCACACCCGCCTTCATGGCGCCAGAAACGCTGTCTGAGACCCGGAAGATCTTCTCTGGGAAGGTAGGATGGGCGGGTGGGTGGGGGTGGAAGTTCCCTTTGTCCTGGTCCATTGGGGATCCATTGTAAAAAGTTTAGACGGAAAAGGCATTGATTAAGCACTTACTGTATGCTCAGTGCCAGGGAGACAACCAAGCAAGATGATCCCTGCCCTTGAGGAGCTTATATTCTAGTAGGGCAAGACAACATATAAAAGGGGGGGAGCTAGAAAAGGGGAGAGCCAGGTGGCATCTTGGTGTGAAGGTGGCTGGGAGGTGCCACGGAGAGCTGGGTGACTCAAGAGCAGAGTCCAAGGCTGGGGGGTATTGCAGGGCCAGATGAGGACGGTGGCTACAGTGGAGGTGGCATGGGGCACAGACGGCTGGGAAACAGCATGAAAGCTTGCTTCTAGACAAGATAAGGCTAAAAGTCACCTGTCAGACCCCGGAGATTCAGGGTGGTGGACAGAATTTGGGCTTGGAGGCAGGAAGACCTGGGTTCAAATCCTTCCTTTGACACTTGCTTGCTGTGTGACCTTGGCCAAGTCAAGTCACCTCTGAGCCTGTTTCTTCATCTGTAAAAGGGGGATATTAATACCTACAGTATCCCTCCCCATTGTTTCGAGGATAAAAGGAAACTATTTCTATTATAAAATCCTTTGCAAACTTTAAAGTCTTTTAAGAATGTCAGATGTTGGTGCAGCCAGGGGGTACTATGGCGCATAGAGCGCTGAGCCTGGAGTCAGGAAGCCTCATCTTCTTGAGTTCAAATCTGACCTTAGACACTTACTAGCTGTGTGACCTTGGCAAGTCACTTAACCCTGATCACCTTTTTTAAAAAAAAATGCCAGATGTTTCTGCTGCTGTTTTCATTATCCCCACCCCTCCTGCTGGGGTATCTTCTTCTCTTTTCAGGCTCTGGATGTGTGGGCCATGGGAGTGACACTCTACTGCTTTGTTTTCGGCCAGGTAACTTGCTGGTAATGTTCTTCCCCCACCTCTTACCTAATCTGTCATGGGAGGGAGAGGGGCAGTGCCCCTCTAGTCACCAAGCATCACAGAGCTGGGACCTCAGAAGCCACTGGGTTCAACCCCCTCATTTTACAGATGGGGAAACTGAGGCCCAGGGACATGATGTGACCTTGCCAAGGGCCACAAGGTAGTAAGTGGAAGAGCCAGAGTTTGAACCCAGGTTTTCTGACTCAAAATTTAGCATTTATTCATCAAGTTGAGTCTGTGACCCAACTGGATAAAAATGGTATTGACTTCCTTATCGGCTTCTAGGGGGTGCCACAGTGCCTAGTGCTGTACCTTGGGTCAGGAAGACCTGATGAGTCCACATGCTTATGTAACTTACAAGCTATGTAGTTCTGGGCCAGTCAACTAACCTGGCCGACTCAGTGTCCTCATCTGTAAAATGGGCTGCCTCCCGGGACTGTTGTGAGGACAACATGAGATAATATTTGTGAAGCATTTTGCCAGCCATAAGGCTGTAAATTTTAGCTAGTAACATCCTCATCAACCTTATTGTTATTACCATTATTCTTGGTATGCTGGGCGTGGGTTGCCATTTTCAGATTTCTCTATCTAGATCCAAGGATGCAGAAGGCTGCCTTTTTCCATTTGTGTCCTTGACCCCCTGTCCAGGGAAGTGTGAGTCTCTGGCCCTGTGAGGGCCGCTGATTTCTGAGGAAGGATGGTAGTTTGGGGATAGTGGTACTCTCTGGATGGGACCCTTGGCAGGGAGAGGGCTGGGAAGAGCTTTTTAACGTAGTCACCAGATAGAAAGCCCTGTACAAACTGGCATTGTGTGTGTGTGTGTGTGTGTGTGTGTGTGTGTGTGTGTGCGTGTGCGTGAGGCATTTGAGAGTCACACAGCTAGTGAGTGTTATGTGTCTGAAGCTGGATTTGAACTCGGGTCCTCCTGACTCCAGGGCCAGTAATCTATCCACTGCGCCACCTAGCTGTCCCAAAACTGGCAGTTTTCAAATCAATGTCTATGGCTATCACCACAAGGTCCTGTTCTCTGGGAGGCCAGGGGACTCTGCTTATTCATCCTTGTGGCCCCATGGCATCTAGCACCAGGCCCTATGCAGAACAGGTGCTCAGTGAATGTCTGTTGAATGAGTCAGTTATCATTAATAATGAGCATGAGGGACAGCCTGGTATAAGGGCTGGAGAGGTGGCCTCAAACTGGGTTCAAATCCTGCCTCTGACACATACTGGCTGTGTGACCCTGGACGAAGTATTGAATCTCTGTGCCCCAGACAGCTCTAGGATGAGTGCATCAGTGAAGAGAAGAGCTCCCCATAGAGTTGAAATGATCGGTCTGGGCTAAGACAACTCCTAGGCACCATGAGAGTCAATGTCATCTACTTTTCATGTGGTTGGGGGAGAGGAGAAGAGGAGAAGGGCCTTCTTTTGGTGAAATGGGGAAAACAGGGCACTCAAAAGTCATATGGCAAAGTCACAGTGGGACCAGCAGTGATATGTAGCCGTTAGCCACTGACGTCTTCAGTTTCTCCCAAGATTTGGGGGCAGCTGTTTTCTCCCCTGCCCTGAACCTACCTCAGTTTCCCCATCTATGACACAAGGAATAATCCTCGCTCAGTGGCGAAAGGATGGTCTCTTTGACATAGAAGGGTCTTTTCATGAATATTCCCAGAGAAATGGATGGGAGCCAGCCAAGGGTGTGCTGGTAAATGTTTAACAACCAGCTCTCTGGGAGGGAAAATGTACGCATAACACATTTTTAAATTTAATCTGTGTTATTAGCATTTTTTTCCATCACTTTCTTGAGTCTAGACAATTAATATGACAGTAAATCAATCCATGATTTGCCAATTTCCAAGGTACAAATGATCACACTGAAAATTTAACAACTGGCTCTCTGGAGCCACTTTCCAAGGTGCAGGTGCTCACACTGAAAATTTGACCACCAGCTCTCTGGAGTTAATTTCCAAGGGGCAGGTGCTCACACTGAAAATTTAACAGTTGTCTCTCCAGAGTCCATGAGTTGACTTCAGCACATCACTGTGGCCAACTGATTCTTCCTTCATTGACTCTTTTCTCTAGTGCCCATTTATGGATGAACGGATCTTGTCTTTGCATAGTAAGATCAAAAGCCAGGCCCTGGAGTTCCCAGACCAGTAAGTACCCCCCAAAACCTCAGCAACGTAACTGACATTTATCCCCTTTTCTTTATTCACCATTCTAGTTCCGGCCCTTAGTGCCGCCATTTCTCATCTCCAAGCCTTTCCATGGGCTATCCCCCATGCTCACCTGGACTGACAGAGCCCCTCCCTTTAAGATGCAGTTCAGGTTCCGCCTTCTATTTAAAGCCTTTCGGGGTCTCCCAAGTGCTGATGCCCTCCCCACCACCCACCTCATATTTAGTCTCTTTGTATACTGTGTATATTTACACGTGTGCTTCTCTCCCCATTGGAATGTAAGCTTCTTGAGGGCAGGGACCATTTCTGTCAGGGTACTGATATCTCTAGCCTAGCACAATGCCGAGCACACAGTAGGTGCTTAATAAATGCTGGTTGATGGCTTGGTTGACCGTCTTCTCCATCCCAGGCCCGATATTGCCGACGATCTGAAGGACCTGATTGTGCGAATGTTGGATAAGAATCCCGAGTCCAGGATCGTTGTCCCAGAGATCAAGGTACCACTGGCTGGGACAGACACGGGGGCTGCCGGGGAGGGGGCGTGCCAGGGCCGCAGGCACATTGTGCGGCTTAGTCTCTGTCCTGTGTGTTTCGACCTATTTGGCTGACCTCCCCTGGGGCACGAGCCTCTGCTTCCTCTGCCCCAGGCTTGGCTCCATGCTGTCATCAGTTGCTGGAGTTGACCTGTGTCCCCTCTTATCCTGCCACATCGTGCCACCTTTGGACCATCCTGAGCCACCATGAGGTTGTCGATGGCCCTTCCTTGTCCCACCTAACGGCCACGTGTGTGTCCCCATCCCAGGCCTGGCAGTTTGCTGCCCTGTCCCCTGGTGCTCAGTTGGGTCCATCCCGCCCACCTTCCCGAGGACGGGAAGGTAGAGCATCCGTGGCTCTGTTCTGAGGCGATGAGCTGACCTGGGCCCTTCACCGGCCGAGGCCTCGTTTTCTCTCTCTCCTGTACAATGGGGGAGCTTCCCAGGATGCTCTGGGATGTGTCTTCACAGCAGCTTCACCCGTCCCTGCCAGAGCTCCCAAACACAGCCCTGTGGCGTAGAGAGGAGCAGGGGCTTTTGTCTGGGTAGCCTCGAGCCGCCTGGCCAGGAAATCTGGGCAGGGAAAGGACCTTATCCCTAGCCAGCATGTGGAAGCCACTTTGGGATCCTGAATTGTGTTTGAAGGGGGTGGAATGAAACTGAAATGTGGTTTGTTGTGGAAAGGCAGTCTGGACAGGGAGGTTCAGGACTCCTGGAGTCTCTCTTTCCAGCTTTGCTGCCAGCTAGCCCCTTGGGCCCCGTTACTGTCTTCTCTGAGCCTTGTTTGTGTCCTTCTGTGAAATGGGGAGACCATTCATGGGATCATCATTAGCTCATAAATGTAGAGTTTAAAGGGACCTCAGAATCTAGCGTTCTTATTGTACAAATGAGGAAACTGAGGCTCAGAGAAGGCCAGTGACTTCCCCAAGATGTCCTGGATCCTGACTAATAGAAGGGGGGGGGAAGGCTTAAGAATTACAGGCTGGAAGCAGGATTGGAGCAGTAATAATTTTCATGTGTTGTAAGCCTTAACAAGATTTAAAGTTGTTTTTTCCAAATGGATCTGGAGATAAGCCCAAGGTGTGTGTGATATTATGGTCCTCTCTCCCCTCCCTTCCATATTTCCTTCTGATTCTCTCTCCGCCTCCTGCTTCCTGCCACCATCCATCTGCCTGGCTGGCCCACCCGCCTGCATGTCTGCCTGGGAGGCTCTCCCCTCTCTGGCCTTCTCCCTGCATGCTCCTGTCCAGCTGGCAGGTCACTGTTGCTTTCCGTCCTCCTGGAGGTGCGCCCCGCCCCTCACCCCTCCTGTTATTCATTGAAGCTGCATCCCTGGGTCACGAGGCACGGGGCGGAGCCGCTGCCGACAGAGGATGAGAACTGTACCTTGGTGGAGGTGACGGAAGAGGAGGTGGAGAACTCCGTCAAACACATCCCCAGCCTGGCGACCGTGGTAAGGCGGGCAGAGCCCACTGAGTGCAGAGACAGAGGCAGAGAGAGGAAGGCAGGAGGGATTGCCTGCGAGAGGCATCCGGGAGCAGGGAGCAGGAGGGCTTAGCTTCCCGGCCAGTGAAGACCTAACAGGACCACCTTTTGTCTTGGAGCGCCAACTTCCATTCTATAAGACTGGAAACAGGGATGCTAACTTCGGGAAACCCTGAATTTCATACCTAGAGTAATTGGAGATGGGGTAGAGGGAAGAAGACGGATTGTTGAATTGTAGAGATTTTGAGAGAGCCCAAACCGCTTAGAGGGAGGGGCTGGCATGGTGGAATCTCAAAATAGCCTTCATTGGAATGAGTGGGCTAATATAAAGCTTGCTAAAGACCCCAAATAGGTTTTCACTCTCTGAGAGAGAGCCTAAGGCTTTCACTTGCAGATAGGGACTGAATCTGCCATTTCATTGATATAAGGAACTCTCAAATGAGGAAACTCCTTTCACCAGTGCAGGCTGGCATCTTTTCTGTAACTTAGAGACTTGCCTGGTTAAATGACTTGCTCAGGGTCACACAGCCAGGATATATCAGAGGGACTTGAGCCCAGATCTCCCTGGCTCCAAGGGAGCACTGTGAGCACCTTAGCTACCATACTGCCTCTCTCTAGAAAAAGCCTGGACAAATGTCCCTCTTGGCCCTAGCAGACACAGCTCTCAGTCTCCTGAGTCTGGAGGTTGCTATCAGGCTGCTTTATGGCCCTATGCTCTGGAGCTGAGGCTTATCCCAGAAGGGGGGTCTGGAGGAGGTTGGGACCCCCAGCCCTCCTGCCCTGCCTTCTCAGGATGGTGAACCAGCACCAGGGACAGGAGCTCGCTCCCCAACTAGTTGGAGAAAGCACCATATGGATAAGCAGGTTCTGTCCCAGCTTCCTCCTGTGGGGTTGCCAGAAACGTGCCAATCTGTCCATCAGATCCCTGACCTTCACTTGTGGGGTCCCCAGTGAGGTAATAAGGATGGCTCGTCAGACTAGATGAGAAAATCTGACTGAGGTGTCTGAGGGCATTAGGGTCAGCCTCGATGGGGTCACTGTAGACTTCCTAAGGTTTGCCATGTGTAGCTTGGAGTAACCTCCTTTGTCAGAAGGAGGCTGAATCCTAGACTTTTACTTGCTCAGCTCTGCACCTGCCGGACCCCCCCTTGCCTCCTCACACACTCACTCTGTATCTCTCTCATTCTCCCCCCAGCCTGGAAATCTCCTGGGCCTGGAATTCATGAACATCCTTCTCTCTTCCTATAGGGTCTCTGCATGTCAATCACAACTCCAAACCTAACCATCTCTTCACTCTTCTCCGTCTCCCCTGGGCGTTGTCTCCTGCACCTGGTGGTGTGGGCCTGCTCACTCTGGGCCATCCCTCGAGGTTCTTCAATTTGTGGCTGTGGGCATAACCCCAGCCTGGGGAAAGGGAGGCATCGGCTTTGGAGTCTTTTGGTCCCAATCAAGAGAATCCTGTGGCTCTGAACTGCCCTGGGGCTAGGGGGGATAGTCTTTGAAGGGGTCTGCTCCCCATCTCCTGGGCAGTTAAGTAGTGCTCAAAGGTTCTTGGACATGTTTATGGTCATCCAGAAGGCATCAGCCCAGCTGGACATGCCACAGGATAGCTCAGGGAGGAGGGGACAGAGACAGACTGTGCTACAAGAAAATCACTTGAAGGAACTGGGGATATTTAGCCTGGAGAAGTGGGGAATACGACCTCAGTCTTCAGGTCACTTGGAAGAAGAAGAAGAAGAAATTTTCCTTCTTGACCCCAGAGAGTAGAACTGGGAACAAATGAGGAAGGTTATACAGATGCACATTTAGGTTTGATGTCTGGAAAATTTTTCTAGCAGTTTAGTTAAAAGACAAAACCAAAAACATGCAGTGGACCGCCCCAGGGGAGAGTGGGAACGAGGAAGCACAGTGGTTAGAGCAGTGGTCTTAAAGTCAGGAAGACCTGAGTTTGAATTCTTCCTCAGACACTTACTGGCTGTGTGACTCTGGGCTCAAGTCATTTAACCTTTATCTGCCTCAGTTTCCTCAACTGTAAAATGGGGATAAGAATAACATCAAACTCTCAGGGTTGTTCTGAGGATCACGTGAGATATGTTATGTAAATTGCTTCACAAACCTTAAATTGGTATGTAATATCAGTTTTCCCCTCACTGGAAGCTCACAGGATTCTAGCACTTGCTTATTTTATAGTCAGGGAAATGAAGGCGAAGGGAAATGAAATGACTTGCCCAGGACAGAATGGCTAGTGACTGTCTGAGGCAGAGGTGGGGTCTTTGCCCAGAGGCTAGGAAACCACTTGGGAGTGCTGCAGAGAAGACTCCTGTTCAAGTATTAGTTGGGGGTACGTGACCCCCAAGATCCCTTCCAGCTCTGAGATTCTAAGATTCCTGAGAGCTGAGTCTGCCCTGCCCTTTGTAGAAATTCCAAGAGAAGTCTTAAATTCTCTCCCCTACAGGTCTCTATGTAATGGGCTGAGCCTTTGCTCCTCAGCTCTCTCAATTTGGACAGTTCCCTGTCCTTGGTCCTGAGACCATATGCCTCCTCCGTCTGTCTTCCTCCAATGTGCAAGCATTCAGTCAACTGACATTTAATGACTGGCTTACTGTGTGTCAGGCTCTATGCTCAGCTCTGAGCATACAAAGAAAGTAAAAAACACAGTCTCTGCTCTTCAGGAGTTCATATTCTAATGGGTGAGAAAAAAGTCTATAGGCATGTACCAGATATGTGCAGAATGGGTGGAAAATAAAAGAGGGGAAGAAATTAGTAGCTGGAGGCCTGGGAAGGGCCTCCTGCAGGACAAGTAACACTGTCTTGGCTGGCTTGAATTTGTCTATGACTCCTAGGCTACCTAGAGAGGATTAATCCATAAAACAAACATTCAATGAGTTCCCAATAAACAGAAGGCACCAAGGGAATGCAAAGATGTCTAAGGTTGTTAATTTTAAAATTTAATTTTCTTAATTTTTAAAAAATGTTAAATTTGAAATTTTAAAAATTTACATTAAAAAAAAGTCATATGTGTAGATTGCAACACAGAGCTGGGAGGGAAAGCTGTATTTGAGAGGACAGATTCCAGATTCAAAAAGATTTTGATGTGCTAGACCTGTCAGTCAAAACTAGCAAGTTCACATTGAATGAGAAGAAAGTCCTGCACGTAGGGCCGAACAACCAGCACCAGTACTGGACAGAGGATGCCTGGTAGTTCATAAGGGACCATAAGTTCAATGTAAATTGAGTGTGGTACAGCAGCTCAAAAAGCTGATAGTCAGTCATTGGGTGCTTTGATGTAAGTCTGGAATCCAGAAGAAAGGAGGTCCTGCTGGACTCAGAGCTGGGCAGGCTCCCTCTAGAATATTCTAGTTCATTAGCACACTGCTTTTTGAGACAGACATTTACACACTGGAGGACAGCCCAGGAAAGAGGACCAGAATGAGAAGGGATCCTGAAATGAAATGATAGATCCCATTTAGAAGAACTGAGGATGCTTAGTTTTGAGGAAACTCAGGTAGAAGACTTTCAACTTGAAAATTCAGATATATTCTTCTTAGTGGGATGAGGAGGAGGTACCAGTAAGAGGTAGATTTCAGGTCTATATGAGTTGTGTAATTTTTTTGCCATAGTAACTTGTGGCAACTAACTCCTTAGGGGTAAGAGGGTTGCAATCTGCATTAGTGAAGGTGCCCCCCCATTGATGAAATCATGGATCCTTGACACAGTTTGCTGGCTTGTGAAAGATGGTTTAGAACCATAGATTTAGAGCTGGAAGGAACCTTAGAGGTCATTGAATCCAGACTTCTCATATTATGGATGAAGAAACTGGGACCCAGAGAGGCCATTTCTGGCCCAGAGTCACACAGCTAGTAAGGGTCTGAGTTGAGACTTGAACCCAGGTCTTCTTCTACAAGTTCAGGACTCTCTATCTACTATGCACACTGCCTCTCATAGCACAAAGACAGAATAGAATTGGGAGACTGAATTACAAGGCTGTTGTTATGGAACAGTCAAGATAAGAGGGATAAGAGCCAGGTCCAGGAGGAGAAGCAGTAGTAATCCCTGTAAAGGAAGAGTTCAATCAACAAGCATTCATTAAGCACCTACTATTTGCAAAACACTGTGCTGGAAATGAGGGGCATTTTCCAAGAAGGGCTGGTGGGTCTTGGTAACTGAGTGCCTTCTGCTAGGTCCCTGGTTAGGTCCCTCCCAGACAGGAGCAGGGTCTCCTGCCTCACAGGGTCTGATCAGGTTGAATCCCTGGGAGTTAGAATGACTGCTGACATGGTGGGGAGCCAGGGGATGGAGGGTGGAAGGAGAAGGTGCAGCCTGGCTGCCCTCAGTGCCTGAATGGTCATTAACACGCTTTTCTCTTGCTCTCCAGATCCTTGTGAAGACCATGATCCGTAAACGATCTTTTGGGAACCCTTTCGAGGGCAGCCGGCGGGAAGAACGTTCTTTGTCTGCCCCTGGAAACCTGCTCACGTGAGTGTCCTTCCCCTGTCTTCTCTTCTCTTCTCTTCTCTTCTCTTCTCTTCTCTTCTCTTCTCTTCTCTTCTCTTCTCTTCTCTTCTCTTCTCTTCTCTTCTCTTCTCTTCTCTTCTCTTCTCTTCTCTTCTCTTCTCTCTCTGTCTCTATCTCTCTCTCTGTCTGTCTCTTTGTCTCTCTCTGTCTCTGTTTCTCTGTGTCTCTCTTTCTGTCTCTGTCTCACTGTCTCTGTTTCTTTCTCTCTGTCTTTTCTCTGTCTCTGTCTCTCTCTGTCTCTGTCTGTCTCTCTTTCTCTCTCTCTCTGTCTCCCTCCCTCCCTCCTGCCTTCATAAGGGCCTGGGAGTCCTGAAGGAGAAGGCCTCTGGCTTCATTTGTTATCTTTGGGCAGGGGTCCTCTTTGGCCATGGGAGCATCTGTCTCACATGAGTATACCACGTGGACCTTCACTGTGAAATGAGGAGAAAGTATTTGTTCCTCACTATTGATGAGATGACATGTAGAAGCCCCATCAAACCTTGGGGGAGGATGTAGGAATGCAAAGCAGTGTGGTGTAGTGGGTACAGTGTTGGGAGTCAGAAAGACCTGGGTTCAAATCCTACCTTTTTAGCTGTGTTTAAGTCATTGAAGCTTTCTCTCCCCAGTTTCCTCATACGTAAAGTGAGAAGGTTGGACTCAGGGACCCTTTTCACTCTAAATCTATGGTGCCACAAATCCTACTCTGTCCTACATAATACCCAATGGCACTTCTTGATAGGTGAAGCCAATAGTGACCAGCCTGGGCCTTATCGTGAATGAAGGGATTTAATCCCATCCCACCTGCCCCTTCTTCTTCTTCTTCCTTCATTCTTTCTTGGCTGCCAGCCCATATTCCATTCTTGGGTGGCCTTACTCTCAATTAATGCTCCCTAGAAGGCATTAGCTGAAGACTGGGTGGGGCTCTTGACAAAAAGTCTTTAGAAACCAAAAGAATGAACCTCAGATGGTAGAATTTTAGACTTCACCATATACTATAGAATAGGAGGAAATCTAGGCAGCTAGGTGATACATACAGTGTTCAGAGAGCTAGACCTGGAGTCAGGAGGACCTGAGTTTGAATCCTGCCCCAGATACTTACTAGCATGTGTGACCCTGGGAAAGTCACTTAACTTCTGTTTGACTCAGTTTCCTCATCTGTAAAATGGGGATAAAATAACACCTACCTTACATGGTTGTTGGGAGGACTGAGTGAAACAACATATATAAAATGCTTTGCAAACCAATATAAACGATAGCCATTATTTTCTTTTCCCAAGGAAGGATCTCCTTGGGGCCCCTCAATGCAGGACAGGGAAGCAGTAGCCCCTGCCTGAAGGCCTGCACAGGCTCTCTTGGAGGCCTATTCATTCATTCAACAAAAACTTATTAAACACCTACTATGTGTAAGGCACCCTACTAGGCACTGGGTGTACAAAGGCAAAAATAAAATAAGACAGCCTCTGCCCTCAAGGAGCTTCCATTTTACTGGGGGAGGGAGGGTACAATTTATTCCCATTATACTCTTCCTAAAGCCTCCTCCCAAAGACAGCCCAGAAGCCCAGTGAATTCTCTCTTTCTCATCAGTCTCACTCTGTAGATTCTACTCCTTAATCATGTCTTCCCTCCCTGCCAGCTTCCTTTCCTGTATTGTCTTCCCCCATTAGATTTTAAGATCCTTGAGGGCAGGGACTGTCTTTCCTTTTCTTATTTGTATCCCCAGGGCTTAGCACAGCACCTGGCCCAGAGTGGGAGCTCATTACATGTTTACTGTATTGTACTAATAAATATATCAATACAAAATATTTATTTTATTTCATCAGCTTGAGGAGCTCCTCGTGAGGGATTTCCACTCTCAGTGCAGGTTGGCACCTTCTCTGTAACTGGTAGAGAGTTGCCCAGGGCACTGAGAGGTGACTTGCTCAGGGTCACACTGCCAGAATGTGATCGAGGAAGAACTGGAGTCAAGTTTGGGTAGGGGTCCTCTCTGGGAGGACTTGGAGGCTTTCTCTCTGTCATCCCAATCAGTCAACAGATGTTAAGTGCCTGGCCCTGTCTTAAGTGCTGGGGACATGGGAACAAAAGCAAAGGATTCCCTGCCTCGAGGTGCATGGGGGAGCCAACATGTGTATAAATAGGCATGGACAAGATCCATAAGAAGAAATACAAGGTAACCGTAGAGAGGAAGGCATCAGCAGCTGGGGAAACCAGGCAAACTTCTGCAGAAAGTAGCATTTAAACTGAGTCTTGAGGGAAACCAGAGGTGAAGGTGAGGAGTACTCTATGCAAGGGGAACAGCCTAGGCAAAAAGATGGAGGTGGTATATCAGATCCCATGCCACCCTGGGGAGAGGGGAGGGAGAAAAATTGGGAACTCAAAATCTTTCCGAAAATGAGGGTTGAAAATTGTCTTTACATATAATTGGAAAAAATAAAATACTATTAAATTTTTTAAAAATTTAAAAATTAAATAAAAAAAGAGATAGAGGTGGGAAATACAGCATGAAGAATAGCAGATAGGCTAGAGAATTTGGGGAGGAGTAATATGTAAGAAGCCTGAAAGGGGAGGAAAGGGCTGGGGTGTGCAGAACTTTAAATGCCAAATGAGGGGGTTTTATCATATTTTATCATCGAAGTAATAGGGACCCTCTGGAGTTTATTGAGTGTGGGAGGGTGACATGGTTAGACCTGGCCTTTAGAGAAATCACTTTGGCAACAGAGCCTTGAGGCAGAGAGATAGATCAGTTAGGAGGTTATTGCAATGGTCCAAACAGAAGACAATAAGGGCCTAAGCTAGGTGGCTGTGTGAGTGAAGAGAAGGGGACAGATGTAGTAGAGTTAGAACTGATGACTGCATAACTGACTGATTAGACTTGTGAGGAGTTGACAGGTCCTTTGAGGTTGTGAATCTAGGTAACCAAAAGGATGGAAGTGCCCTCCACAGAAACAGGAATTTCATGGGTCAGATGGGTTTGGTGAGGAAAGATGAGTTTGGTTTTAGACGTTTTAGGAATGCCTGTGGGACATACAGCTGGAGCTAACAGGCACTTGGTGATGTGGGACTGTAGCTCAGGAGAGAGATGAAGGCTGGACATATACATCTGAGAGTCATCTGCATAGAGGTGGTCATTGAACCCATGGGTGCTGATAAGGTCATCAAGAAAAGAAGGCAACACCCAGGACTGAGTCTTGGGGAACACTCACAGTTAGGGAACAAGATTTGGATGATGATTCAATAAACAGGACTGAAAAGGAGTGGTCAGGATTAGGAGAATCTGGAGAGTGGTTCATGAACCCTCAGAGAACCTTTCGGGTACAAAGGAGGTGCTAGATGGTGATTGACGGTGCCACAGGCTGCAGAGAGGTCAAAGATCAGGATGGCGAAAAGGCCATTAGATTTGACAGTTAAGAGATCAGTGTACTTTTAGGGAGAAGTTTCACTTAAGTGATGAGGTCTAAAGCCACACCACAGAGGGTTTAGAAATGAGTGAGGAGAGAATGGAGGTACCAAATACAGATGGAGTCTAGCTGGGGGATTTTTTTTTAAAGGATGAGGAAGGCAAGGGTATGTTTATAGGCAGCAGGGAAGGGGCCAGTAGATAGAAAGAGACTGAAGATTAAGGAGAGTGGGGATGATTGTGGGGCCAATCTGCTGGAGAAGATAGTAAGGGATGGGTTCAAGGGCACATGTAGTAGGTTGATCTTGACAAAGAGAAAGACCATCAGCATGATCAGGGACTAGTGTGAAGGAGGACATGATGAGAGATGCTATCAGAGGGATGTGAGGTGACGAGGAAGGGACAAGTGGATAAAGAGATTAAAAATTAAACAGAGGAAGGAGGATTGAAGGGGCAGGCTCCCAGAAGGGATGGGAGCAGTGGGATCCCGGTCCTGGGTAGAGTGATTGACCTTGGCAAGAAGGACCATGTTTTCCTCTGAGACTCAAGCAAAGAAGAGAATCAAAAGTAATGTTGAGTGGACTTGAGATGTAGAAGGAGGAAGGAGAGGGATCTCCTGATGGATGCCTTTAATTTTCCCAGTGAAATATGAGGCAGGTGCTGAAAAGAATTGGAGGGAGAATGACTCAGTAGGCTTGAGGGGAAAAAGAACACGTTTAGAGCAGCTAAGGTGGGGGGCATTGAATAAATGAATGGATGAATTAAAAAAAAATGTTAAAGTCTTACTATGTTTTAGATGCTCCACTAATAAACTGCTAAACACAAGCAAGAAATCCAATCTCTATTCTCAGGGAATCTACATTCTAAAGGGGAATAGGTAGAGTGGTGGCCAGAGAGGAGTGTGTTGAGTGAAGGTGGGGAATGACCTGGTGGGAGCCTGAGACCCAGATAGAAAGGGTAAATGGCCACCCATCAGAGCCTAGGCTCACAGGAGTGGGAATCCAAATTCTGGATGGAAAAGGAGGAAGAGGCGGAGGTAAGGTGCATTGCAGGCAGCATTAGGGGCTTGCAGTACTGAGGGCTCAGCTGAGGGCCCAGATAATACAAATTGATAGGCCCCCACCCCAGTTTAGCTGTGTGCCTTTCTCTAATGTTCAGCAGCAAGTGAATAGGAGCAGAGAAGGTGGATGATGGGAGTGGCGCAGGGAAGGAATTTTGCAAAGCATGAGCGGCAATAGGAAAAGAGGGGGCACTGGGGATTTGAGAGTAGAGGATGGTTAAGTTGAACTGGAGAACAGAAGGGTCATGATTGAGAAAAAAGTGAAGGGATGATGACCTTGGAGAACACTAAATGATGGTGGGACTGGAGGTCATGGTGTGGATTTAAAAAAAAAAAGAGGACGATGAGAAGAGGATGATTGAGGTACAAGGAGAGGTAGGAGAATAGTAGATTTTGGTAGGCCAGAGAAATATCAGTGGTAGAACTCTTGGGGCTGGTAACAGGTTGAGGAAGATGTCTATCCTTGTGTGCAGCTCAGGCAGTGGAGGAAAGATTAGGTCATCGGTGTTGGGAGGCCTGGGTATTTGAGGGAGGAGGATGGCACCAAATATATTGGAGTCTCCAAGTATACTGGCAAGGTTGGAGTAGAGAGGAAGACAGTGAGCTAGGGAGGAAACTCTTGAGAAGGAGGAAGAATCTTGACCACCAGGATCTACAGAAGGTCATATATCTGTTTTGAACAAACCTCAAGGGATGAGCAGATTCCAAGGCATAGTATCCAGAAAAGGACCTGGAAATGACAGTGGGAAGAAAGGTGCCCTCTCCTCCCACCTGGGCCCTGAGTGTTTGGGCTGGGGAAGGGTCTTCTGAAGCTCTCTAGGGCCCCTTCTCATGTCCCTTTTCCTTCCCCTTCCCCCAATTCCAGAAAAAAACAAACAGGGGGATGTGAGCCCTTCCTGGAGTCCAAGGTAAAAGCCAGCTCTACCTGCCTGCTTGCCTGCCTGCCCACCCACCCGCCTAGGCCTCTGTCTGCCTGTGCATCTCTCGGGGCACGGGGATGGCTGCTGAGCACATGGGCCCTTGGATCTGGGGGGCAGGGGGCTCTCTCCACACTCAGAGTACTTGGGCAGCTAGGCAGTTGAGGCACTGACTCAGGACCCCCGGCTAAGGAGTGTTGATGGAGAAGGAAGCCAGGGGCTAGGAAGTGGGAGGGAGTATCCCGGCAAGGATCCCCTTGGCACTGGATATGAGGGTGCTTTGGAGGGCACCAAGTTCCCTCTCAAAAAGGTGACTGAGGGGCTGGGGCCACCCTGGGCTCAGTGCATGTAGTCCTGGGACCTGCTGCTGCATGGAACTGGGGAGGGCATTCAGCCATCTGAGATACCCTCCTGGCATCACCCAGCACTGTGCATGGGGATCGACATGCAATTTGGCTGCTGCCAGGGGCCTGGAGAGAAGACCTTAGAGACAGAGGGGATGGTGGAGGGGGAACAACTCCTACAGGGGGAGCCCCTCCCCCTAGAGTTCCTGCAGCTGCTGTTGCATCAGGTTGGTGGTAGGAGCTTTGGTCTGTAGCATCTTCTTCCCTTCCCACTCCCCAGCCCCTTAGGCTAATATTATTTTACTACTCATTCTCTGAAGATCATTTGGAAAAAGGGCCATGTGGAGGGATTTACTGCAGTTGGAAATGGGGCTCCTGAGAGCATTTTGGGGAAAATAACTTTTTTTTTCAATTAGCAACCATCAATTTTTCTCTCTCCCACCTCCCTTCCCCTAACTGAAAAACAAAAACCATTATGACAAATATTCATAGTCAAGAAAAGGAAATTTCGGCATTGGCCATGTCTAAAAATGTTTCTCTGACTCTGCATTCTGCGTCCATTCACCTCTTGGTCAGGAGGTGGGTAGCACGTTACATCATCAGATGTCCGGAATCCTGGGTGGGTTGGTCATTGTATTGCTTAGAGTTCTTAAGTCTTTCAAAATCATTTGTCTTTACATTCTTGTTGTAATTGTATGAATTGTTCTGGTTCTGCTCACTTCACTCTGCATCAGTTCATGCAAGTCTTCCCAGGCTTCTCTGAAACCATCCCTTTTTGTCTTTTCTTATCGCACAATAGTATTCCATTGTATTCTTCTGCCATGTCTTATTCAGTCAATTTCCAGTTGATGGGCATCCCCTCAGTTTCCAGTTCTCTGCCACCACAAAAAGAGAGCTGCTATATATTTTGGTACTTACTAGGAAAGATTTATTTGCCTCATCCTTTCCTAGGTGGTGGGGTGGGAAAGAGCATGGAATTTGGACTCAAGGGCCTGGGTTCAAATCCTAATTACCCATGTGACCCTGGGCATATCCCCTCCCTTCTCTGGGCCTCAGTTTGCTGTTCTCTTAAGTGAATTTCCAGCTCTAACCTCTGTGATGTCAGTCAGTCTCTAAAATGCATTTTCCCCACCCCAAGCTATTCCCAGATCTTCTACAATTACAGAAATGAGACTATTATTGGAATTAGTAACCTTGCCTTTGTGTGTGTCTTCAGCTCAATTTGATGATCTTTTATTAAGCATTTATTAAGAGCAAGGAGCTGGCCCTGCACATTGCAATCTAGTGGATAAAAAGGGTATGGAATGAGTATAACACAAAGAAGAATAAATGTTGGGGCAGCTAGATGGTGCCGTGCATAGAGCACCAGGCCTAGGGTCAGGAAGATCTGAGTTCAAATGTGGCCTCAGAAACTTATATGTGTGACCTTGGGCAAGTCACTTAACCCTGTTTGCCTCAGTTTTCTTACCTGTAAAATGAGCTAGAGAAGGAAATGGCAAGCCACTCCAGTGTCTTTGCCGAGAAAACTGCCTGGATAAGGTCCATGGGGTCACATGGAATCAGACATGATTGAATGAACTGAACAACAAGAAGAGACTTGATGAGAATCTGAGAGGTTGGAGCCAGGGCTGAGGGAGCCTTCCTCCCATTGAAGGAAAGATGCTATCTCCAGCTTTTCTGAAGTTCGATGCTCCTCTGCAATTCTAGGCCATTTTCTAATCTCTGGAACCATAATAACCTGCCTTGTCTTGTTGGGGGTGTTGCTTCTCAGGGATACAAGGTGTTTCTGAGGGCTCCACTTGGGGTCTAGTAATCAGAGGACCGTCGCTTTAGGATGGGACCTCAGAGGTTTCCCAGTCCAAACCCTTCCTTTTGTGAGCAGTGAAAAGAGTGCCAGATTTGGAACTAGAGAACTCAGATTCAAATCCTAGTTCACAAGGTCATAGATTTAGAGCAGGAAGGGATGTTAGATGCCATCAAGTACCACCCTTTTATTTTACAGATGGGAAAACTGAGGCAGAGGTTAAGAGGCTCAAGGTCACAAGGCTAATAAGTATCATAATATAATAAGTAGCATTTGAACCCAGGTCTTTCTGACTCCAAGTCTAGTGCATTATCCACTATACCATGCTGCCTCTCAGTTCTGTCACTTATTATGACACTTATATGTGAACTTGATCATCAGTTAACTTTTCTGGGCCTCAGTTTCACTATCTGTAAAACAGGAGGTTGGACTAGAACTCTGAAGTTCTTTCTAGCTCTGTTTGTATGATCACAGTCATTTCAAATCATTCAATCAACAGACATTTATTAAGCTCCTACTATGTGCCAGAAACCATAAGTGCTAAACACAGAAGAGGCAAAAGATAGTCCCCTCAAGGAATGTACAATCTAATGGGGAGACCACAAGCAAACACATATGTGCAAAGCAAACTATATATAGGACAAATAGGAAATAACTAGCAGAGGGAAGGCACTAGAATTTTGAGGGGCTGGGGAAGGCTTCCTGTAGGAGGTGGGATTTTAGTTGGGTCTTACAGGAAGGTCAGTGGTTGGAGTAGAGAAGGGACAGCATTCCAGGCATGGGGGACAGCCAGAGAAAATGCCAAGGGCCAAGAGATGGAGTGTTTGGTCCATGGAACAGTCCACTGGATCAAAGAATATGTTTGGGGAGTAAGGTGTAAAAAGACCGGAAAGGTAGGTAGTAGGGGGCCAGGTTAGGAAGGGCTTTGAATGCCAAAAGGGGATTTTGTATTTGCTCCTGAAGGCAATAGGGCATCATCTTTGTGAGGTCATGGTCCTCTTCCAGAAGGAAGGACAAACCAAAACCACAACCTGAAGGCAATGGGGAACCACTGGAGTTGCCTAAGGAGGTGGGCCATGTGATCAGACCCGTGTTTTGAATGTAGATAGATTGGAGTGTGGGGAGACTTGAGGCTCGAAGACCCAGTATAGCAATAGTCCAAGTGTGAAGTGATGAGGGGTGGCATGTCACAGGAAGGAAGGGGGCAGAGGCTGAATTGACCAGCCTTGGCATCTGATTGGATATGGGAAGTGAGGGATAATGAGTAATCCAAAATGGCTTCTAGGTTGTGAGCCTTCGGCTTTGGGAGGATGGTGTTGCCCTCTGTAGTTATAGGGCTAGTGAGAGGGAGGGAGGCTTTAGGGGGAAAGATAATGAGTTCTGTTTTGGACTTAGTGAGCTTAAGATGTCTCCTGGTCATCCAGCTGGAGAGGTGAGATTGAAAGGTGAGCTGTGGCAGAAACAAACCTTGGAACTTACCCGAGGTCAAACTGATAATGAGCAGCAGAGATATGGTTTGAGCTTAGGTGCTCGGACCCCAGTCCGGCGCTCTTAACACCATACCTCTTCATATGGCTTCTTTGTTCCCATTCCGATCACCCAATCAGGAGTCATTTCCGTTCAGTCCAACCACCAAGTCTGTCCTTTGCCCTCTGCTGGACTTCAGGAGAGAACAGAAGAAGCCTGTTTCCAGGCCAGCCGAGGGGAGGGGAACAGTCCGGAACGTGCTGCCTCTGGGGTCCAGGCTGGGTGGGCCCAAGTGGCAGCTTCCCTGGGGCGCCGCGGGCGGGGAGGAGAAAGCCTCATTGACCGCTGGTTTTCTGTTTCGAGCAGGAAGCAAGGCAGCGAAGACAGCCTCAGGTGCACCGACCTGCCGCATGTCGGAGAGGAGGAGGTGGTGTGGTGAAGAAGGCCGCCCTGGTGGATAACGGGCATCGGCCGCTGCCTCCGCCGGGAGAGGCAGCCATGGAGCCTGAATAACACCGGCTGGGCACCCGGCCTGCTCGCCTCCACGGGGCCCCGTGCCGCCAACGCATCCTGTCTCCATCGCCGCATGTCCTACCGAAAATGACCACTTGTGTAAAGCGTTGCCCGTCATCTCTGGTTGTTTCTTTTCCGTTGTCGTTTTAAGGGGTGGGGGGCGGGGGGAGGCATGGCATCTGCTTCGTGACTCGAACGTTGGCCTTCGGCTGGCAGGAGGGCCTAGAGAGAGGAGCTGCAGGCTCCCCAGCCTGACACTGTAGGGGAGGGGGTGGAGGAGGCGACTCCTTCGGAGAAAAAGTCTGGATGCCAAATATTTCAAGTCGCGTCAACTGCGATGCTTTCGCAAAGCTGGAGGAGCAAACAGCAAAGGCGGATGGCCCCAGGGACGCCACCACCCGGGAAACGTTAGCACCTCCGGGTCTTGACTCACCTCCTCCCCAAAGGGCGCCGGGCTTCGGGCTGAGTCTGAATAGCCCAGACGAGTCTCATTCATTCCAAGGACTTCGGTTTGCCTTCACCTCCCTCCTTCACTGGTGAAGGGTATTCCTTATTTTTTGAGGGGAACCCCCCCAAAACTTTTGGACATATGAATACCTTAGTCAGGAAAAACAAATTTCTCAAAGGGCTCCGAGTTCTGCGTGAGTGGCTTAGTAGGGAGAGGGAGAGCAGCAGCAGCAGGGCTGGGGGGGGGGGCGTGGTCCCCCAGGGGTGGGGGCTCAATCTGTTGCTTTTAGTCAGTTTTCAAAGGGCAGCAGCGAGAGTGCATTTCTGAAATAGGTTACTGAGCTACTAGGTTTATATACTATTAACTTTAAAATTCAGGGTGAAATCCAACACTTCCATGTACATTACATGGCTTAAGATTTTTACTTATTTGAATATCTTAGAATGTAGAGTTCAAAAATTGTCTAGACATCAGCTTAGTGGTTTTCAAAAAAGTGCTCTCTTCAGAGCTTCCGACAGGGGATGGGGGCTTTCCAACTGCTGGGCCGGTGTCTCCCTCTCCAGCGTCTTCGCTGGTATACCCAGGAGGCTGCTCGTGTCTTGTTTCCACCTTCTATACTAGCTGGCTGTATAGCTGGTGAGTTACTACAGCTCACTTGTGGTGGGGCTGTGTAGGAAGCTTCCTCTCAGCAGTCATGCCGATTGCAAACCCTGCTGTGAAACCTCCACAGGAAGCCACGGGATCACTTGTGGTCTACTCCTGGAGGAGATTGTGGGCACTTGGAACAGTCCCCAGGTGACAGGTGAGACAGGTCTCGGCTGACACATTGAGATGTTCTTCCTGGTGGCGGGAAATTGGGATAATTTCCTTTTTCTCTTCTCACCAAGAACATGACTATGCATTCTTTTTTAGCTTGGAATCTGCTTCCCGCCAGAGACACAGGTTGGTCCCATCTGAAGCCCCAAGCGAAGGGGAATTAGCAAGGTTCCACCTTTGTTTCTTGGCTTCAAAGCACACCTTTCTTCTACAGTTTGAGAGTTTGATCCGGAGGAAGGAGGAATAGTCCAGGTGCCTGAGGCCACTTTCTTGGCGATGCTTTTTCCTCTAGTCTGAATGGCTCAGTAGCCACAGAGACAGGTTGGGCCTGGTGCCCTCACCTCCTCACTCCCATAGGCTTTGGGCTCCATCCCTTTTCCCTTGAGTATTGCTTAGGCAGACTTTCTGGACATCCAGAGAGAGACAAGGTCAGGAAAGCCAAGGGCTGAGTCAGACTGTTTGCCACTCTGCCATCCGACCATTAACTCTGTTTCCTGATTGTCCTTGACCACAGAATACTTCCTCCTCCAGCACATTTTAAAATGGATGACAAATCCCTGCACAAATCTGAGATCCACCTCCTGTTGTTGGTAAGTGGTTAGCTCGTGATAAGCACCTTTTGGAAGTGATGACTGTTAACCTTATTCCTAGTTCCAGTGTGTGTGAGGTGGCCAAGCAGTACATTGCATCGAATCTCCCTCTTGTTTACACCACTGCATTGGGCAGTGCTGTGGCTTTGCACAGTTTCAGGGGCCTGGGCCTCACTGCAGTTTCTGATGTCTGTGCTGCGGGTCAGCCAAAGATCAGGAATTTGGAGCTAAAAGGGACCTTAGAGGTCATCCAGTTCAACTCCCTCCCCTTACTTTACAGATGAGGAAACTGAGGCTGGAGGGCACACAGATGGTAAGTCGGCAGGCGCAGGATTCAGACCCAGAACCTTTGACTTCAGATTCGTCACTCTGTCTAGGTCAACCCCACACTAAGGGGTTTTCATGGATAGTATAGGCAGGGGGCACTCAAGGGTTACAGCCTTTCATTGGCATAAACTCTTTGGAGTTCAAGTCCTTAAAAATAGCACAGTTATTAAGGAAGATGGAGTGACTACTGAGTACGCTGGGCTTTTTAAAAGTCCAAACAGCAATTGGGTAAATACAAGCATGGAAGAAAAGGGTACTCAGCCTTTCTTTCCCCTGCTTTGAAGGAGGACAGAGAAGATGGACCTAGGTTCAAATCCTGGTTCTGTCCTGTATGGCTTATGTAATAACCTTGGGCCATCACTTCTCTGGACATCAGTTCCCTCATGTGTAAAATCAAGGAAGGGCCCTTTCCAGCTCCTAAATCAGTGATCCTAGAGCCTGTTTTCATCACTCTGCCAACCTTCTGTCTTGGAGGTCACAGTTTGGTGGAGGTAGCTTGTGTATGTGTGAGTAGGGGGTTGAGGAGTGGGAGGAGGGAGCCTCCAGGTTAGCATCAGAGGCTAGAAGCTCTGGCCACCTCATGCGCCTCTTTTCTCTCTCTGCCTCTCTTCATGTTTCCTTCCGGTGGCAATGTGTAGGCCATGCAGGTCCCCAATATTAGAATATAACGTGTGACTCTCCCCTCCCTAGGTTAGGATTGCCTCTCTCTTTTTTTTGGCAGCCGTGAGCTTAAGAGTTCCTTTAAATGTTAGGCGCGTCTCCAGAAATACCATGGAAAAGAAAGACTGATTCTGTCTTTGTTTCCATCTTCTCTATGGTTCCCTGGATTCGACAGGTTTTGAGAGATTGCTGCTGCCTTTTTGATTCTGTGGTTAATTTAATGCCCGATGCCTGTTCATTCCTCGTCCTTTTTACTATGCATTTTTCCTTTTATCAGGTGTACAAAGTTAAATACTGTGTATTTATCACTTAAATTACATGAACTTAAGAGAAAATGAAACTTTGGTGTTTTTCCACAGATGTTGAAGCTTCTCTGTAAACTTGAATAAACAGATAGCGAAGTAGTCTTGCTCTTTGGTGTGATTATTATAACCTCTCCTCAGATTCCAACCTCCTTCAGTGTTTCCAGGTTTTCTTTATATTATTGGAGTTGCCGTGTGTCTTGTTTTCTGGTTTCTGCTTACTTCCCTTGGCCTCAGTTCATATAAATTTTCTCGTGCTTCTCTGAATTCTTCATATTGGCGGATACAATCAATAAATGAACAAGTTGCTATTAAGTCAGGTGCTGTGTTAAATTTTGGGGATACCAAGAAAGGCAAAAACAGCCCCTGCCCTCAAGGGGCTTATATACCAATGCAAAAATATACAAATTTACGGCCATTCCCTTTCAATTCAACAAGCACCTGTTGTGGGATGGGGGGTGGGTCAGTCTGGAAAGATAGGTTGGAGGTAGAATGTCAGGGGCTTATGTGCCAAATAGAAGAGTTGATATGTGATCCCAGAACTCAAAGGGGAGCCATTGAAGTTTCTTGAGTAAAGGTGTGGTGTGAGCAGAACCATCCCTTACAAATATCTGTGTATTTAATTTTGGGGAGCTGGATTGGAGAAGAAAGCCTGAAGGAATTAGGCTGAAGTAATTAAGAGATGTGAGGAGGGATGGAACTAGGGAGTTTACTAGCTGTGTGAGTGGAGAGAGGAGAGTGAAGCCAGTCACATGGAGGCAGAATTTGATAAGATTTGGCAACTGAAAAGGGAAGGGAAGTGAAATACTGTGTATACACAGGGGAGAGTTGTGAATGATTGTGAACTAAGGTGACTGGAAGGAGGCTGAGTGATAACTCTCAACAAAAATAGGGATGTTAGGGAGAGAAATGGGTTTTGGGGAAAAGATGAGCTCAGTTTTGGAAATGAGCTTAAGAAGCCCAGAGGCAGCTTAGTGGATAGAGTGCAGGGCCTGGAGTCGGGAAGACTCATCTTCATCAGTTCAAATCCAGCCTCAGACACTTACTAGCTGTGTGACCCTGGGCAAGTCACTTTACCCTGTTTTACTCAGTTTCCTCATCTGGCGAATGAGCTGAAGAAGGAAATGGCAAACCACTCCAGTGGTTTTGCCAAGAAAACCCAAAATGGGGTGATAAAGAGTGGAGGGACTGACCAAATAATATCAGCGACATGGAATTTCCAGGTCAAAATGTCTAGCATGTCAAGACAAGTATTTATTTAGTGCCTACTAAGGACCCTGAGCCAGACCCAAAGTTCAAATCTGACCTGACTCAGTTTCCTCATCTGTGAAATGGGAGTAGTAGTAGCACCTACTGCCCAGGGCTGTTGTGAAGATCAAATGAGATACATTTATAAAGAGCTGTGGAAACCTGAAAGTTCTACATAAATGCTAGCCATCACAAGCCAACAAATATGTGCAAATATGCTATATGCAGCACTCACTGGGGATTATGGGAAGCTACTAGAATTAAGAGGGACTGCGAGAGGTCTTCTGTAGGAGGTAAGATATTATCTGGGACTTGAAGGAAGCCAGGGAGGCCAGGAGGTGAGGATGAGGAGGGACAGCATCCCAGGCATGGGAGAATCAGAGACGATGTGTCTTGTTCGAGGACCAGTCAGGAGGCCAGCGTCACTGGATTGAAGAATATGGCAGGGAGTAAGGTATAAGAAGACTGGAAAGGTGGGAGAGGGCCAGCTTAGGGGGGCTTTCACAGCCAAATAGAGGATTTTACATCCCCTTTTAGAGGCAGCGGGGAGTCCCTGTAGTTTATTGAAAGGGGGTGATGGTGATGCTGATGACGTGGTCAGGCTTTAGGAGGATCACTTTGACAGTTGGGTGGAGACTGAACTAGAGGAGGGTGAGGGAAGCAGACCCACTAGCAGCTATTGAAGGAATCCAGGGATGAGGAGATGAGGGACTGCACCAGGCTGGTAACAATGGCAGAGGAGAGAAGTCATGCAGACAGTAGTTGATATGGGACTGGAATTTTAAGGAAGGATGAGGGTTGGAATCATCGGCATAAAATAATTTTTTAAATCATCTTTAAAATAAAACAAAATTTTAATTTAAGTAAAATTTAAGGTATAGCTAGTGAATAGAGCTTTATACCTGAAATCAGTAAGACCTGAATTCAAATGCCGCTTCAGACACTCACCGTGTTGTGTGATCCTGGGCAAGTCACTGAACTGCTGTTTACCTCAGTTTTCTCAACTGTAAGGGGGCCACTGCCAGTGGTCTTGATCTATGTCTTGCCACTGGACTCTGATCACTCTGGAAGAGAGAGTAAGGCTGGGGCAGCTAGATGGCACAGTGGATAGAGCTGTGGCCTTGGAGTTAGGAGGACCTGAGTTCAAATCTGGCCTCAGACACTTGACACTTACTAGCTGTGTGACCCTGGGCAAGTCACTTTACCCTGATTGCCTCACCAAAAAAAAAAAAGAGAGAGAGAGAGAGTGAGACTGATAACTTTGCATGGCTCTGCCTCACTTACATCCAATTTGTTTGCAAGTCAAGACATCTGACCTCCTGATGTCATCGGTTCTCTTTGAGAATGGAGGACGTACAATAACATCTGTAAAATGGGAACAATGATAGCACCTACTTCCCAGTGTTGCTGTGAGGACCAAATGAGATATTTGTGAAACTCTTGGCAAACTTTAAAGAACTCTCTACATGCTAGCTATTACTATAATGATAATTGAACCCATTGAAATT